TCAAGAGTGGCTTGACACACGGAATGCGACACCTGAATCCCATGTCTTTCATGAGTCTCCTCGTGGTGGTTCTTGAAGCGCTGACTCCAGCTGCAGTCCACTCTTTGTGGATCTCCCCCACATTTTTGAATGGGTTTGTCGTCACAATTCTCTGCAGGGTGCGGTTATCCCTAGAGCTTGTACACTTTTTTCTACCACATTTTTTCCGTCCCTTCGCCTGTCTGTTAATGTGCTTGGACACAGAGCTCTGCGAACAGCCAGCTTCTTTAGCAATCACCTTTTGTGTCTTGCCCTCCTTGTGCAAGGTGTCAATGATTGTCTTTTGGACAGCTGTTAAGTCAGAAGTCTTCCCCATGATTGTGGTGCCTTCAAAACAAGACTGAGGGACCTTTTAAAGGCCTTTGCAGGTGTTTTGAGTAAATCAGCTGATTAGAGTGGCAGCAGGTGTCTTCTATATTCAGCCTTTTCAGAATATTCTAATTTTTTGAGATACCAAATTTGGAGTTTTCATTAGTTGTCACTTATGAATATCAAATTTAAATGTAATGAACATTGGAAATACATTGGTCTGTGTGCATTGCATGAATATAATGTACAAGTTTCACGTTTTGAATGGAATTACTGAAATATTTTCAACCTTTTGATGATATTCTAATTTACTGGCCAGCACCTGTACAAGCATGGACTTTATTAACTATGAGATAGAGAACCTTAAAATAAGGTAGGAAAAAACACCTTTAAAGCAATGTTTGTCTCACTGAAACAAAAGAAGGAAATTTTACTTAAAAACAAACACCAAAACAGAGATTAATGCTCCAAGTTCACAGCAGGAATGCAGACAATAAAACTTAGAAATGTGTTGGACTGTGGATCTACAGGTCCTTCAAAAAAAATTTGCATATTGTGATAAAAGTTCATTATTTTCTGTCATGTACTGATAAACAGTCGACTTTCATATATACCGTATTAGATTCATTACACACAACTGAAGTAGCTCAAGCCTTTTATTGTTTCTAATATGGATGATTTTGGCTACAGCTCACGAAAACCAAAAATTTTTATCTAAAAAAATTAGCATATTTCATCCGACCAATAAAAGAAAAGTGTTTTTAATACAAAAAAGGTCAACCTGAAACATACAAAACATTCATAACATCCATAAAAACTAGAACTAGCAATAAGAAAAGTGTATATTCAAATAACAGTTCTACAGCTGTGTATAAAACCAGCTGGTGAACTATGAACAGTAGTGTTATTATGGTGTAGGTTGTAAATAAAACTTGTAATATCTCAGGAACCATATCAGCACAAATGACACTTTTACCTGCACAAAAGAAGCACTAAAAACGAGACAGGTCTGGTTCATTTTGGAGCTACCTGGGGGCTGGTAACATCATCGCCCCAAAGTAAAACTTGTAATATCTCAGGAACTGCAGCAGCACAAACGGTAATTTTACCAACCTGGTGTCCCAGAGCAAAGGGCCAAGGTGCTGTTTAACACCATCAGCAGCATCGTGTCTCCTGCCTCTCCTACAGCCTCCATCCACTCTGTTACAGACTGTGAGAACTTTCTGTCTTTCTTTGTGGACAAAGTCAATAAGGTTAGATCTAGCATCTCTCCTTCAGCCTTATCGCTGCCTCTCCCGACTCCAACCAGGCCCATCATCCTAGATAGCTTTGCTCCTGTTTCTTTGCCTGAGTTAACAAAACTAGTTAACTCTATGAAGACCTCTGCATGCCCCCTCGACATCTTACCCTCATCTTTGTTTAAAAGTGCTTTTCAGTCCATCGGCCCCAGCGTGCTCTCTATAATTAATGCTTCTCTGGTTTCTGGTCAGGTCCCTGCTTACTTTAAGAACACTGTAATCCACCCGCTTCTTATAAAACCGAGTCTCGACCCCTCTCTCCACAGCAGCTTCAGACCCATCTCTAAACGTCTGTTCATCTCCAAGATCTTGGAAAAGTTTGTGGCTAAACAACTCACAGCTGCTCTTGATGAACATAACATCTATGATAGCTTCCAGTCAGGTTTTCGTAGAGCTCATTCTACTGAAACAGCTCTTCTTAGGGTCTCTAATGACCTTCTGAATCACAGTGATGCAGGGGACGGTTCTGTTCTGGTCCTGCTGGACCTGACAGCAGCCTTTGACACTGCTGACCATCGCCTGCTACTGGAGAGGCTGAGAGACTGGGTAGACCTATCAGGAACTGTTCGAGTGGGTCTCCTCTTATCTGTCTGAGCACTCCTTTTCTGTGGCCGTCTCCAAGTTTAGGTCCTCCACCACCTCCCTTACCCATGGTGTCCCACAAGGTTCTGTGCTGGGGCCTCTGCTCTTCCTCCTCTATCTTCTCCCTCTTCAGCACATGATCTAGGGATGGGTACCTTTGACATTTGAATCGATTCGGTACTAATTCCCGGTACCTATGAATCTATACCGGTACTTAACGGTACCAATTTTCGATACTTTTGAGTGTTTATTCATTTAATTCTCTTTCATAATTAAATATATATTTTTCTCAATATATAACAACATTTGATAAATAACACAATAAATAACATTTAACTGTTTGTATTTTAACATCGTCCTTGTAGTTTTATAAGCTGATAATTAAACTGAAGCAAACATCTTTACTGTGAACTAAATTTACTGTGTATCTTCATTCCTTCTGCCGTCTTTTTTCTTTTGATTTTTCCTACTGGGAAGTTAGAATTTCCGAGGAGAAAGCGAATGCACCATTAGCTGATAACAACGGTGGCAATGGAAGCTAACATATCAAGCTAACGTTATCTTTAACAGTTTATTTAACTGCTGGAGCAGATTAAAACGATGATGCCTCACACTTAGATCGTTGTCACTGGTTTCATCTTCACCCAATCACCCGTCGCATTTAGTAAAGTGAAGCCAAACTTTAGAGCGCGTTCATGTTCTTCTAGTCGGAAATTCGGAGTTCCGAGGAGAAAGCGAACGCACCATTAGCGAAACGGAAGCTAACAAATCAAGCCAACGTTATCTTAAACATTTTATTTACCTACTGGAGCAGATTAAGATGAGGATGTCTCACTTAGATCGTTGTCGCTGGTTTCATCATCACCCGGTTACCATCACATTTAGTGAAGTGGACCCAAGCTTTAGCGTGCGTTCTTTCTACCATGCTGCTCTGTTTACAACTCGCTCACAGCGAGCGATGACATAACGCTCTTGCGCATGCGCAGCTGTCTTGGCAAGTTCTCGTTATGAAGGACGGTTACCGAAACGAGGCACCGTTTGAAATGACGTGAATCGGTGCTCAGTCGGTACTATGGAATTCGGTCGGTACCTTAAAAAGTACCGAATTCGGTACCCATCCCTAAGCACATCCTGAGCTCCTTCAAAGGAATCTCCTACCATCTTTACGCAGATGACATCCAGCTGTACATCTCCTTTAAGCCCCATGAGATGTCTAAGCTGCAGCTGTTACACACCTGCTTAGACTCTATCAAAACCTGGATGGCTGGGAGCTTTCTTCAGCTGAATGAAGATCAGACTGAGATCCTCATCTGTGCCCCAGACAAGCTGGTTCACAAAGTCAGAGACTCTCTTGGTCAGCTTGCTTCTCACACCAAACCTTCTGTCAGGAATCTTGGCGTGACCTTTGACCCAGCTCTCACCCTGGATTCTCATGTCAGTTCTCTTGTTTGCTCTTCCTTCTTCCATCTCAGGAACATTGCTAAGCTGAGTCCCATTCTGTCCCGCTCTGAACTTGAGACAGTTATCCACACCTTCATCTCCTCACGCTTAGACTACTGTAACTCTCTTTTCACGTGTCTGAGCAGAACCTCCCTGAACCGTCTACAGGTGGTTCAGAATGCCTGTTCTCGGCTTCTGACCAAGTCCTCCAAACACACCCACATAACCCCGCTTCTCCTCCAGCTTCACTGGCTGCCAGTCAACTTCAGGGTTCATTTCAAGATCCTGGTTCTGGTCTATAGGGCCTTACATGGACAAGCACCATCTTCTTTTATTGGTGATCTTCTTAGTCCCTACACCCCCAGCAGGTCCCCGAGGTCCAGTGATCAAAGCCTACTGGTTGTGCAGCACCAGGCTAAAGACCAAAGGTGACAGATCATTTGCTGCTGTGTCCCCCAGACTCTGGAACTCTCCCCCCCCCCCCCCCCCCGAGTCTGAGATCAGTGGACTCAGTGGTCTCCTTCAAAAAGCAGCTGAAGACTCACTTGTTAAAGCTGGCTTTTGTATGACCTTCTTCAACCCCTCTCTCTTTATTCTGCTCTCCCCACCTATTCCACCTTCCTCAGGATCCACTGATTTCCCTCTTTCCTATTCACTCTCTTTCTTTACATTTTTAATCACAATTGTCTATATATATTTTTTGCTCATTTTAAATATATGTTTAATCGTTTTCTAAACTCTTTTTTATGTTTTTACTTTTTTTGTTTTTTGTGAAGCGCCTTGTGATTTTTATCTTGAGAGGCGCTATAGAAAAGATCTTTTTGTCTTCTCCTTCTGAACAAACGAAGCACTAACCACGCAGCCTATTTGATTGTACTTTTCAGGTGGGTGGGGGGTCAGCTTCACTGAGGTGTCCCCTTTTTAACTTTGAGCTCCCGCCCTTCAAAGGTCTGTGCACGGCCCTGCTCTTGAATTGGCGCTACACCAGGAACCAGCAGGACAAAACAGGACCGACTCAAGTTAGGAACCGAACCTTTAATCTGGGTCCATCCATCCCACTTTCAGGTAACAACTGGTTCCAGAAGCAGTTTAATGGTTCTGGTCCTGATGTTCCTGTTCTCACAGCCGGACTCTGGACGAACTCTGGGTCGAGTTCAGAGAACAATTCAGACAGCCGAACCGAGCCCTGACCAAACGGAACATTCCAGACCCTCCATCACCTGTTCACCCCTCAACATACCAACCGTCCGAACCTTTCTACGCTGACAACGTCTGACCCGGTCACATTTGCTTTTGCAGGTTCTGAGCAGACTGATCCGGAACTGGTCTCACCTGGATCCTTTGTGTCGCCGCTCTGGAAGTTCCTCCGTGATGACCTGCGGACGGTTTAGCCGCCGGAACCGGATTCCTTCCGAATCGTTCATACTAATCCCGGCTCGGTTCGGTAGATGGTCCGTAGCTGTGTTTAGGACCGCTTCCAGAGACAGGTAACGACCCGAACTTCTTCTTCTGTGGTTATTAAGTGACGCGAATGCGAGGCACCGCCCCCAGCGGCCCAGCAGAACCCTGCACCCCTGCCCTGACCCCACAGAGTTCTGGCCATTCTGGTTAGTTAGAAAACACATTTCTCCTTGGGTTATGGTTGGTTTAATACAAGCAACACTACCAGGCCAGCTACGTCACAGGTTCTACAGCAGGGGCGGCTCCAGAGTATTTTACGGAGGGGGGCACAAGGGGTACCAATAATGAACTGGGGGTGGGGCGCACTCAACCTATCTTCCATTCTACAACTGGAAACAATGACTTATATTAGACTGTATATGTGTACATGTATTTGTCTTGCTTTTATGAACCATTTTCAGATGAAGCAAGAGCTTTTGACAAATGGAAACATTTCCTTTGTTTACTTAAACACTGAAGCACCTATCAAGCATCGATTGGAACCGGGACTAACTCTCAGTTTTTCAAAGCGTTTTATTTCGATATAGTTTTGATTCCTAGTATGCCGATTGGAAGAGGAATCTGCGGAAAATCTCATTGAAAAAAAAACGTGATCTGCAAATTCTGATCAACATCTTTTGGAGCTGATCACACCATACCCTGCAGCTGCAGAGACCCTGAGTGCAGCATCTCGCCCCTACCTCCCTTTCCTGACACTGCAAACATGTGATCAAACACATCTGCCGAACATTTACTCCGTGATGTAAACTTTGCATCCTGCAATGAAAAATATGGTGTGGAAAGAAAGAAAAGAAAGAAAACGATCTTTTCTACAGTGCCTCTCAAGACAAAAATCACAAGGTGCTTCACAAAAACAAAAAATTTAAGTATAAAAAAGATTTCAAAAAATGATCAAAAACATGTTTAAAATAAGCAAAAATAGACAATTGTGATTTAAAAAATGCAGAGAGAGAGAGAGAGAGAGAGAGAGAGAGAGAGAGAGAGAGAGAGAGAGAGAGAGAGAGAGAGAGAGAGGGAAATCAGTGGATCCTGGGGAAGGAGGAATAAGAGCAGAACAAGGAGAAGGTGATGAAGGTCCCACCAAAACCTGAACAAACAAGAGCAAGTACGAGTGGCTGGGGCTACCTAAACTGGAGCAATCATCCGGCGTAGTGAGGTGTCTCCATCCTCCTTTTATACCCGAGTTCCTGATTGGGAATCTTGTGCAGCTGCAGCCCCCTCCGCTCCTCACCTGTGGGAAATTAGCTCAATAACGGTTAGATTGGAGAGGGTGGCATTCACCTCGGCTTGGGAACATGAGATAGATAGATAGATAGATAGATAGATAGATAGATAGATAGATAGATAGATAGATAGATAGATAGATAGATAGATAGATAGATAGATAGATAGATAGATAGATAGATAGATAGATAGATAGATAGATAGATAGATAGATAGATAGATAGATAGATAGATAGATAGATAGATAGATAGATGATAGATAGATAGATAGATAGATAGATAGATAGATAGATAGATAGATAGATAGATAGATAGATAGATAGATAGATAGATAGATAGATAGATAGATAGATAATGTGAAGAAGTTCAGGAGAGTTGGAAGTTAAAGTTCCCACACAAAAAGAAAATTTGCATTAAACAACTGCAAAGTCAGAGGTACGGAAGAGGATTAGGGCTACTGAAAAGGAAAAAGAAAAGAAAGAGAATTCTGACTTTTTTCCCCAGAATTCCTTGTCAGAATTCCAAGATTAAAAGTTAAACTTCTGAGAAAAAAACTCATAATTCTGAGAAAAAATTAATAAATTCTCTTTCTTTTCTTTTTTTTTTCTTGTCAGTGGCTCTAATCCTCTTCCGTACAGAGTAGAAATAAATAAATAAAATGTAGAGCACAAAAGTCTCAATATTAATTCCCCCCATACGGTCGAAGAATTGTCCGCTCCCAACCCCATGACCCCGTCTCACTCTTTGAAATGTTCAAAAGTTGGCAGCCCTGGGATACCCCACACCCTCCAAAATGTGCGTAAGCCAGATCCTTTGTCAATTTAGAGGGAGTGCAGAATTATTAGGCAAGTTGTATTTTTGAGGAATAATTTTATTATTGAACAACAACCATGTTCTCAATGAACCCAAAAAACTCATTAATATCAAAGCTGAATGTTTTTGGACGTAGTTTTTAGTTTGTTTTTAGTTTTAGCTATTTTAGGGGGATATCTGTGTGTGCAGGTGACTATTACTGTGCATAATTATTAGGCAACTTAACAAAAAACAAATATATACCCATTTCAATTATTTATTTTTACCAGTGAAACCAATATAACATCTCCACATTCCCAAATATACATTTCTGACATTCAAAAACAATACAAAAACAAATCAGCGACCAATATAGCCACCTTTCTTTGCAAGGACACTCAAAAGCCTGCCATCCATGGATTCTGTCAGTGTTTTGATCTGTTCACCATCAACACTGACAGCATGGGATAAACTTCCACTGTTATGCTGACGATACTCAGCTATATTTATCCATTAACCCTGATGAACCTAATCGGTTGGGTAGATTACAGGCTTGTCTTGAGGACATAAAAAATTGGATGACTCTAAACTTTTTGCTTTTAAATCAAGACAAGGCGGAAGTTCTCATCTTTGGACCAAAAATCCAGAAAAGGAAATTGCTTAGCCAATCACCTGACCTGAATGGCATTACATTAATCTCCGAGAACAAAGTAAGGAATCTTGGTGTTATCTTTGACCAGGACATGGCATTCAAATCCCAGGTTAAACAGGTTTGTAGGATTTCCTTTTTCCACCTTCGGAATATTGCTAAGATTAGATGCATCCTTTCCAGGGGTGATGCTGAAAAACTAGTTCATGCATTTATTACATCAAGACTGGATTACTGTAATTCATTACTCACAGGAAGTCCACAGAATGTAGTTAAAAGTATTCAGCTTGTCCAAAATGCTGCAGCTAGAGTTCTGATGAGAATTAAAAAGAGAGATCATATCTCTCCTGTCCTAGCTTCCCTACATTGGCTACCTGTTAAATTCAGAATAGATTTTAAGATCCTTCTTCTCACATATAAAGCTCTTAATAATCAAGCTCCATCATACATCAGTGACCTGATTGTTCCATACGTTCCTAACCGAGCACTTCACTCTCAGACTGCAGGTTTACTGGTGGTTCCCAGAATATCTAAAATTAGGATGGGAGGCAGATCTTTTAGTTATCAGGCTCCTCTCCTGTGGAACCAGCTCCCAGCTTTAGTCCGTGAGGCAGACACCTTGTCTACTTTCAAGACTAGGCTTAAAACATTTTTATTTGATAGGGCCTATGGTTAAAATCTGATGTTAGCCTAGATCTGGACAAGTGGGGAAGTACAGGGAGGTGGAGTGTACAGTCGGTAAAGACGGCTCTCCCTTGCCCTGCCTCCAACATGCCTACATCTAAATAGGATAGATTATCCAGAGTTATCTCTGTAGTTATGCTGCTATAGGCTTAGACTGCTGGAGAACACACTAACCACTTTTCACACTCGACCACTTTCTTCTACAATCTGCATTTTAACTGTATTATTTTCTGCAATTTCAGCTGTTAACTTTATTTTCTCTCTAAGTGTTTTTCTCCCCAGAAGAAGCTACAATGATGTTCTGCTGAGCTGTGGTAGCCTTGTGGAGGGGGCCATCGACTAGCACACTGCTGCTAACCACTTAAACATTCTCCCTCTCCTGATAATAACATTTTGCTTTCCTTGACGTTGGATGTGCTGCTGTTAGTTTATCCGTTTAATTATAGACCCACTAGGATAAATACAGTAAAATTTATCTTTCACCAAATAGAATATTTACTAAGACATCACAATATAACTATAGACACATTACTTTGTCTTTGTGTGTGTGTGTGTGTGTGTGTGTGTGTGCGTGTGTGTGTGTGTGTGTGTGTGTGTGTGTGTGTGTGTGTGTGTGTGTGTGTGTGTGTGTGTGTGTGTGTGTGTGTGTGTGCGCCTGCTCTGTCTTCTCGATCCCCAGTGAGTCGTGGAGGATGGCTGCTTATACTGAGCCAGGATCCTCTGGAGGTTTCTTCCTGTTAAAAGGGAGTTTTCCTCTCCACTGTTGCTTTATGCTTGCTTAGTATGAGGATTGCTGTAAAGTCACTGACACTAGTCAGTGACTTGATGCAATTTGCTGGGTTCCTTATATAGGAAACATTATTTCTGATTGGCTGAACGAACTGACCTGAATTGGAATGTTTATTATGTGAAGTGCCTTGAGACGACTCTTGTCGTGATTTGGCGCTATATAAATAAACTTGAATTGAATTGAACATTGCATGCAGCAGCAACCACAGCCTCCCAGACACTGTTCAGAGAGGTGTACTGTTTTCCCTCCTTGTAAATCTCACATTTGATGATGGACCACAGGTTCTCAATGGGGTTCAGATCAGGTGAACAAGGAGGCCATGTCATTAGTTTTTCTTCTTTTATACCCTTTCTTGCCAGCCACGCTGTGGAGTACTTGGACGCGTGTGATGGAGCATTGTCCTGCATGAAAATCATGTTTTTCTTGAAGGATGCAGACGTCTTCCTGTACCACTGCTTGAAGGTGTCTTCCAGAAACTGGCAGTAGGACTGGGAGTTGAGCTTGACTCCATCCTCAACCCGAAAAGGCCCCACAAGCTCATCTTTGATGATACCAGCCCAAACCAGTACTCCACCTCCACCTTGCTGGCGTCTGAGTCGGACTGGAGCTCTCTGCCCTTCACCAATCCAGCCACGGGCCCATCCATCTGGCCCATCAAGACTCACTCTCATTTCATCAGTCCATAAAACCTTAGAAAAATCAGTCTTGAGATATTTCTTGGCCCAGTCTTGACGTTTCAGCTTGTGTGTCTTGTTCAGTGGTGGTCGTCTTTCAGCCTTTCTTACCTTGGCCATGACTACGTTTACATGCAGCCAATATCTGGGTTATGATCGGGTTAAGGTCGGTATTCGGGTTTCTGAGTTGATCAGAATAACCCGTTTACAAGCATAAATAGAAAGAGTTACCTCTAACTTGCATAACCCGATGTAAATGCGGACGTTGGGGTAGCGTCAGAACGTATGGACCACCTCCAGACGCAATATGAGTCATTTCCGGTTCTTCTTGTTCCGGTATCCATGAAAACAACAACATGTTTCCCACTTCGGAAGAGATAGCGACCGCGTTTGTTTGTGCTTTAGTTTCTTCCTCACTCCAAAAGTGTGGTGCTGTGCCGCGACTCGCCATTTTGCTCCCAACTTGTTGTTTACTTCCGGTGTTCTGGCGCATACAAGACGTCTCGCTACTCTAAAGACCAAGATTACTTGCGAACAGAGCATGCGCAGAACACACGCTTTGATGGGGATATCCCGGTATGCGTTTACACGACCAAACATTCGGGTTAGAAAAGGGTTACCCCAGGTGTAGTAACCGGGTTTTTAAAAACCCGGTTATGAGCATATCCGGGTTTTTGGCTGTGTTTACAAGGACCTGTGGAACCGGGTTATTGTGAATATTCGGGTTTTAAAAAGGTTACTGGCTGCATGTAAATGCACTGCATGTCTCTTGAGTATTGCACACCTTGTGCTTTTGGGCACTCCAGTGATGTTGCAGCTCTGAAATATGGCCAAACTGGTGGCAAGTGGCATCTTGGCAGCTGCACGCTTGACTTTTCTCAGTTCATGGGCAGTTATTTTGCGCCTTGGTTTGTCTACACGCTTCTTGCGACCCTGTTGACTATTTTGAATGAAACGCTTGATTGTTCGATGATCACGCTTCAGAAGCTTTGCCATTTTAAGACTGCTGCATCCCTCTGCAAGATATCTCACTATTCTTGACTTTTCTGAGCCTGTCAAGTCCTTCTTTTGACCCATTTTGCCAAAGGAAAGGAAGTTGCCTAATAATTATGCACACCTGATATAGGGTGTTGATGTCATTAGACCACACCCCTTCTCATTACAGAGATGCACATCACCTAATATGCTTAATTGGTAGTAGGCTTTCCAGCCTATGCAGCTTGGAGTAAGACAACATGCATGAAGAGTATAATCAGGGGTGGACCTTTAAAGCGCCCGAGCGCCAATGGCGCTAAATTTTCTCGTCGTGCGGTAAATACTTGACGACTTACCGCCCGGGTGGCACCCAAGCCTTGTTTGTCATTTACACACCGGCTTTCGCCTACATCATGGCCGCGCCCTGTAGGAAGCCGCCGTTTTCGTTTCGCCCGCGTGAACCTGCACGCCTCTAGCCACGTACTGCACTTGTACGATTCATGCACGTACTGCACGATTCTAGTTATAGTCACGTGAACTATAAGTTCACTATTAAAGACGAAGTGGAACCACGCTAGAAACACACAAGCACGAAGGAAGATGCCGCCGCCACAGGGATGGGAATTCTTGATGAAATCTCCGGCAAAACGCTTTAAAACTGGTGAGGAGAAGCGAGACAGTTCGAAACGGTATGAAGCAGAGAAGCGTGTGCGTGGGTGGAATGATTCTTGGCGGTTTAAAGAAGACGGGAGGCGCAGAGAATGGCCGTGTTCGAGTTGAGCAGCGCCTTGCCTGGAAAACAGACGAGAGCAGATGGAAGCAGCAGGGGGAGGGGCTGAAAGTCGGCGTTTAAGTCGGACAGATTTCCCTGCATGTGTAGCTCGGGGGTGACGATGGATGAAGATATCGCGTTAGCATTCACACTTGTTCAATTTTCAATTTTAATTCTGGTGCCCGTTAGCAGCTGAAACACATCCTCACGTGCTTGTGGATATCATATATTGTATATGAAGACATGACTGTAATAATAAGTAAAGGTTAGCAGATGTAGGTTTAGTGTGTTCATAGGAAACGTGACAAAAGAAAACAAAACACATTTCTCTTTATGGCCTATATAGTTGTCATCATCAGCGTAACATGATTTACAGAAAACATGTGAACAACTAACATTTCATGTTCTACCACCGGATGTTTGGATCAAAATATGAACCAATCAGATCTTAGATCAGGTGAGAGCCAGGCGTTTCCCGTCATCCTCTAGGTTTTGCAGCCGAGGGTGAGCAAGTGCAGCGCCTTGCTCCAAAATCTGCGGCCGCCTTGATCTCACGAGGTTATCGTTGCCTACGTATGCATGACGTCAGAGCAAGTCGGCGTCAATTCGGACACAAATCTAACCGGCATGCACTGCTCGCCGATCGCTGCTGGTCTAATCTGCGCAGAACTGGCTCATCTCGAACACAGTCAATGGCTCGAGTACAGCAAAGCGGAGGAGGTGATGTACTGCGTTGTATGCCGGAAGTATGCGACAACAAAATCGTGTTTTGTTGAGGGAACAAACAAATTCAAACTTGAATACGTTATTATGTTTATGAATGTGTACAAAATAAAGGTTTATTACATTTAAAACGGTTCAGTTGTTATTTTGACTCGTTTTGGCAGCTGACCAGCGGGGCCGGTAGATTCTTGGCGGGACCGGTAAATATTCAGAGTTACCGGCCCGGCTGGCCGGTTGGTATTGAAGTTAATGTCCACCCCTGATGATGTGGACAAAATACTCATTTGTCTAATAATTCTGCACTCCCTGTAATGTTGAGCACATTTTTCAGCTACTTTTTCTTTTGTAAACCCCAAAGTTTGTGTGGAAAGTTGCTTAAGCAGTTTTCCGACACCGTTTGTGTGCAAGCAAGCTTTATAAATGAAACCCCTGGTCTTTAGGGCCTTACATGGACAAGCACCATCATACATTGGTGATCTTCTCAGTCCCTACACCCCCAGCAGGTCCCTGAGGTCCAGTGATCAAAGCCTACTGGTTGTGCAGCACCAGACTAAAGATCAAAGGTGACAGATCATTTGCTGCTGTGGCCCCCAGACTCTGGACCTCTCTCCCCCTGAGCCTGAGATCAGTGGACTCAGTGAACTCCTTTAAAAAGCAGCTGAAGACTCACTTGTTCAAGCTGGCTTTTGTATGACCTCCTTCACCACTCTCTCTTTATTCTGCTCTCCCCACCTATTCCACCTTCCCCAGGATCCACTGATTTCCCTCTTTCCTATTCACTCTAACATTTTTTTTATCACAATTGTCTATTTTTTTGCTCATTTTGAATATATTTTTAACCATTTTCCAAATTCTTTTTTATATTTTTACATTTTTTGTTTTTGTGATTTTTACCTTGAGAGGCGCTATAGAAAAGATATTTTCTTCTTTCTTCTTCTTCGTGATTCTCTGACTGACATTATTCAGAAAGGAACACCAAGCAACAAGGCTTGAAACTGATTGGACAAGACAAACCAGTAGACCAAAGTGGTAGATCCGAATGGCCTGAGGTTAGAAGTATATATATATATATATATATATATATATATATATATATATATATATATATAATCTTTCTCCTGTGGTGGTACATTGCCCGATTGCCCTCATTAACAAACCACCCATGATGTTGATGTAGCAGGAGTGGCTACCATGTGACGTGTTATCACAGCCTTGCTCAGAACAAGAGTTTCTCTGCTGCCGATTTTTACATTTCTAATTTACATAGAAAGCAGGTCAAACATGGCTTAGACTTTTCGGTATGCTACAGTTGACCACCCAAGATGTCTTTATTCAACTACAAGGAACATATTACTTTACATTCTACTTTTGGCTTGATTTTATCACAACAACAATTAGAAACAATTTCTATGTTTTCGTTGAATCTAGAACAAGAACAAGTCAATTTCCCCAGAACCAGGACAGTCAGAACTTGAATACATCATTTGCAGGTTTACTGATTTGTTTGGGTCTAATTCCATGCTGTCGTTCTTTTTCTAAAAACACAGAAACGGTTTCGTTACCGGTTTTTTCGCTACGTTTCGTCTGCGGCTGCAGACTTCCTCAGGCTGACGCTGATGGTCAATCATCATCAGCGTCAGCCTGAGGAAGTCTGCAGCCGCAGACGAAACGTAGCGAAAAACAGGTAACGAAACCGTTTGTTTTAAAAAAGAACGACAGCATGGAATTAGAAACAAGACACAGCAAGAACAGACCTAAGATGTTTGTGTCAAAGTTTTCACTACAAGTTGATTTGTTGGAACAGCAAATGGGGTTGACCTTTTACAGTAAAGCTAAAGCTTCTCCTGGCCAGATGTATGCTGGTTGCCATGATAATGTTGGTGGGCGGAGTGACACTGCCATCTGACTGGTTGCATCTCAGATCCCAGGTCTGCTGAAGAATTCATCCAGAACTTGCTCAACCTGGTCTTCACTGTAGTCTCTCACCACAAAACGCTCACCATCTGCAGCTCCTCGAATCATGGCCGACAGCGCTGCAAACATGCAGAGGAAGTTAGTGGGCCAACAGCCAATTAGAAAGGAGATGCTGGCATTTAGGATGTCTCTCACTGCGTCTTGACGATGGCCTGAACAGACACAAAATCTTCTTTTTCATGTCAACGGCTCGACCCAGCTCGTAGCCAACCCCCAGAGATGGCTGCGTGACCTCGGCAACGATTACTGATATAAACAAAGGTCAAAGGTCACAGTCTGCAGACAATTCTCACATTACCTGATTTGTGAATAATCAGCTCACCGTCAGATTGTTGCAGCCAGTCCACATCTCGGTCATGGATGGCTCGGTCTCCCTCCACGGTCCCGTCCTCTCCTGTCCAATAATATACTGATAAATGACCCGCACTTTTGTACCCCCATTCAGAGTCGAGTATCAGTGAGCAATATGGAAAACAATCATATCACGATTCTATCTATCTATCTATCTAATCCCAGTTAAGCGCTAGAGATACAGTACAGGCCAAAAGTTTGGACACACCTTCTCATTCAATGTGTTTCCTTTATTTTCATGACCATGACCATTTATAAAGGGGCCAACAAGAGCTAAACACCTCTGGGAACTCCTTCAAGACTGGCGGAAAACCATTTCAGGTGACTACCTCTGGAAGCTCATCAAGAGAATGCCAGAGTGTTCAAAGCAGTAATGTTATGGAAATTTTATATTTGATTATTTTAATCCTATTAACAAATGTATTACCTTATGCCTGAAGCATTCTCTCTCACACACACACACACACACACATGCACACACACCTGTTCTTTCCTTATCTCATGTTATAAAATAAACTTGCAAGAGGAACTCGGGGCATTTGCCTCGTGCTTTTGCCACAGATTGCAATCTGGTGACTTTGTCTGCTAATTTGGTCTGTCTCCCTTTTCTCTTCGACTGCAGGAAATGGGTTTATTGATAAATATATTGATAAAATCCCTAACAAGAAATCAGAGCAAAGGGTGGCTATTATGAAGAAATTAGAATATAAAACGTGTTTTCAGTTATTTCACCTTTTTGGTTAAGTACATAAGTCCTCATGCGTTCATTCATTGTTTTGATGCCTTCAGTGATAATTTCCCATTGTAAATAGTCATGAAAATAAAGACAACACATTGAATGAGAGGTTGTGTCCAAATTTTGGCCTGTACTGTACACAACTCAAATGTCCCACAGTCCCTTTTAACAATCCATCCATTTTCTTCTGCTTATCCGGAGTCAGGCTGCGAGGGCAACCGCCTAAGTTGAAAGGACTCAACTTCCCTCTCCCTAGCCACTTGGGCCAGCTCCTCCGAGGGTCTCCTAAGGCAGTTCTTGACCAGGCAAGAGATATAGTCCCTCCAGAGTGTCCTAGGCCTTCCTTTAGATCTTCTCTCAGTTGGATGTGCCTGGAAATTCTCACCAGGGAGGTGTCCAGGAGGCATCTTAATCAGATGCACCTCAACTGCCTCCTCCCGATGTGGAGGAGCAGGTCTACTCCAAGCCCCTCCTGGATGACCAAGCTTCTCACCCTACCTCTAAGAGAGAGCCCAGCCACCCTGCAGAGAAAACTCATTTTGGCCGCTTGTACTGGCGATCTCATTCTTCTGGTCACTAACCAAAGCTTGTGACCATAGGTGAGAGCAGGACTGTAGATTAACCGATAAATCCAGAGCTTCGTCTTCCGGCTCAGCTCTCTCTTTACCACAACATACTGGTACAACGCCCATAACACTGCAGACGGAGCACTCACTCGTGAACAAGACCCCAAAATACTTAAATTCCTCCACTTGGGGCAGGACCTCATTCCTGACTCAGAGAAGGCTTTCTACCCTTTTCCGATTCAAGGCCATACGGTCTCGGATTTAGAGGAGCTGATTCTCATCTCAGCTAATTCATACTCAGCTGTACGGCTGCTCAATTAATCGACTTTTAATCACGATTACGATCTGAGTTTTGAAGGATTATAAAAACAAAACTAGCAGATTATTTGCTCCTCCCACTTGCGCTGCCCTGAGTTGCAAATGAAGCGCTCCTCCCTACAGTGTTGCCAACTTAGCGACTTTGATGCTATTTCTAACAGCTTCTCAGACCCCCTTCTTGACTTTTTAAATCTTAAAAGTACCTAGCGAACACCTCAGAAACATCTCTGGTAACCCTTAGCTGCTTTCTGGATAACCGTCGTCGAGATTTCCTGCAGGTTAGCTAAACACTCCGCCTGCGCTCCGGACCGTTCTTCAGGACATTAGGAAAGGGAATGATGTAGTGATGTGTCAGTCGCTAAAGAAACGGCTCTCGGAGCCGGCTCCCTGTTGGATTAACCAGAGTGAGTGACACACACACCGTACCTGCGGACTCCTGAACCACTAAAAACGGCTAACTGTGCGTGTGCGGCGTGCTAAACACACGTGCAGCTTGCCCCGATTGCTGTGAGACCAGTTTGGGGGTGGGGGGTGCAGCTGTGGTTGGGACATTTATTACATTAACTGATGGACCTGTAAATCAATAGTTTATAAATAAGGTAGAAATAAGTTCCTCACGCTGATAAATAATAACTAATCTCTCTGAGGACACGGTGCTAGTGCACTCTCCTACAGCACCTTGACATGACTAAATAAATGTTATGAAACATTTTGTGAACATCAATTTATTTGCATTTATTTGTTATAAATGCCACTGTATAATTCTCGCTGTCAGTATTTGCAAGATATTGGTATTTGGGTCTGTACTGGTTAGACTTAAATGAGTTAAACCAAGGTCTATAGCCCTTGGGTCATAAACTATGAGCTATAAGTATATTGGTCTTTTTATACTGGGAATCAGGAGTTATTTTAGTGATCATCTTGTTTCTTATTTATTTTTGTCCTGATTGTGCCCTGAGCAATTTTATGGCTGAACAAAAACAAATAAAATCAACTTTAATTGAAAAATCGTCCTAAATAATCGAGATCTCAATTTCAGTCGTAATAATCGTGATTATTATTTTTGCCATAATCGAGCAGCCCCATCTTGTATTCTGGTTCCTCATATGTATTTGTTGTTATGTCCATATGCTTGTGTTGTGGTTTACTTGTATTTCATTTATGTGATGCTATAGGAGATTTAACTTGATTCTACATCCCTCTTCCAACTTTCACTGTTTAGTAAAATTTTCCAGTTCTCCCAGCTCCTTTATTATCTTAGCCTGTGACCCTTCTTCTTCTCTGATCCATACACTCCCGTTCCTTGTCCATGGAGCTACAATTTTTTTCTGCTTTTTTAGCATCCGTGCCTCTCTAGCCATTGTCCCATTTTTTTGGTTACATGTTCATTTATATACACATTGGTGCCTCTTAGCTTGTTTGCTTGTAACAGAACGCTGTTTCTTTGTTTTCTGCTGGTGAACCTTCCAATAATAGTTGGTTTAGCTTTCTCAATTTTTTAGGCAGTGCATGACATATTGAAATAGCATCTCTTTGAATAGTTATGTTCTTGCTGTGCAGAAAAGTAACAACTTGCTGCTCTAGTGTCTCAAGTTCTTTGTCTGAAGCCTCTTCTGCTGAGTCATGATTTGCTACTGCTTTTGCGTAGCTTCTGTTTCGGGTTTCTAGTCCCATTATCACCAAATCCTCTCGTCTTATATATTGTTCAAGTTCATCAACTCTTTGCTCTAAGGCCGAAATCTTCTTATCTTTTTCAGTTAACAGTATTTTAAGCTCTTTCTCCTCCTCCATCAGTCTCAGTAACCGATCCTGCTCTGATGTTACTTTTGACAGTTCACCTGACATAAAGTTCAGAGGTCGTTTGATCTCCTCCAGGTCTTCTGTTGCCATTTCTTTACCTCGTCCACCGGCTCTTCCTGCTGGCATCTCTTCCACTCATCTGCAACCGTCGTCCTCTGGTCCCGGGCTCACCGCGACGCGATGAATGTTGTTGGGCCCGGCTTAGCAGCACCCCTCCGGAGTCGGTGTAGCTAGGCCCAGTTGGCGGAACTATGCCGGGTTCTGCGCCGGGCTCGGTACCACTGGGCCGGGCTGACAGAACCACGTCAGGCTCGGTGCCGCTGGCCTGGGCCGGCGTAACCACGCCGGGTTCGGCACTGCCGGGCCAGGCGGATGGAACCACGCCGGGCCCGGTGCCGCTAGGTCGGGCCAATGAGACCACGCTGAGTTCGGCGCTCCTTGCTGCACCTCCGACATTATCGAAGTGTACCGTTTTTGGTTCTGCAGTTCAGCCAGTTGGTGGCGTTGTTGTTCTGTGGTTAATCTTGCCCAATCAAACAGCCTACCAGAATTACATTCTCCCTTCTCTTGTCAAATGTCAGAGTGTGAGGCTTAAATTTATGTCCTGGAATTGTAGAGGTTTACAGAAAATTAAAAAGATTAAACAAGCCACGAATAAATTAAGAGACTCGGGTTCAAATATCATATTTTACAGGAGACTCATACTGTTAGAGAACATCATATTAAAATAAGTAGAAGATGGCAGGGGACTGTTTATACAGCCTCACTTCATTCACAGGCACACGGAGTTGTGACCCTTATCCATAGCTCAGTTCCTTTTCAAGTGTCAAATACGACTGAAGATAAACGTGGCAGATATTTAATCTTACAGGGCTCATTGCTTGGCGTTAGTCTGAATCTAGTAAATGTTTATGGTCCGAATGTGGACGACCCAACCTTCTTCACTGACCTCTTCTGGACTCTTTCCTCCCTCCCAGGCACATGTGTAATTGCAGGGGACTGGAACTGCACATTGGACCCAGCCAGGGACCGTTCCACAGGGGTTGACCAAACACACACTATTAACTATTAAACACTTTTTAAAGGAGCTCAGTTTGATCCATGTGTGGAGGCACTTTAAGCAGGACGAAACCGCATATTCCTGTTATTCTGGAGTATATAAAACTTTTTCTAGAATTGATTATTTTCTGGACTCAGCTACACTAATCTCTAAAATAGATGACTGTTTTTATGACATTATACTGCCATCTGATCACGGACCATGCGGATTTACGTATATAGATAAAGCTCATGTAAGAGATCCACCCAGGTGGAGTCTAAATCCAAAATGGTTATTAGATGATGACTTTGTAAAATAAATTGGGGAGGTAATAGATTATTTTAAAGATAACACAACCGAAATGCTGTTTCAGCAAAGGTTGGCTGGATCAGCATACGTGGGTGGAATATAGGGTGAGCAAAGGTGCTACGTTTTGCTTTAGTTGTCTGCATTTTCTAAAGGGAGGCTATGGATTTCACTTGGAGCCCGCATTTACAACACTTGGCTTCAGTAACTGGCGAAAAGCAGCTGCATCTTTGAAAAATCATCACGAAAGCGCTGGATACAAATTTTCAATGGAGGCATGGAGTGAGTTTAAATGAACTAATTTAGTTTCCCTAACCCGAAGGTACATGATGGGTGTGCTGGAAAGTGCGCCACACAGCGCGGTCACAGTGAGGATGAGGGTTCAGCAAACAAAGATCATTTTCCTGAGATGTTGGATGTTACTGGAAAGTTTGATTCAACAGTCCAAAAGAAATTGGCCACTAATCCATCTAATGGGAAGTATGTTCATCATTCAATTCAATTCAAAAACACTTTATTAATCCCAGAGGGAAATTGATTGCTGTAGTAGCTCAGAATAATAATAATAATCAAGTCATCAAAGAGTTATTGTATATTACAATGGCTGTTGGCAGGAAGGATCTCCAGTAGCGGTCAGTGTTGCAGCCAAACTGAAGAAGCCTCTGACTGAAGACACTCTTCCGTTGTCGGACAGTCTTGTGAAGAGAATGCTCAGGGTTGTCCATCATTTTCTTGATTCTCTGGAGAATCCTTCTTTGCATTATCTCCTCCAGTGGTTCCACAGTCGTCCCCAGAACAGAACCAGCCTTTTTTATTAGGCTGTTGAGCCTTTTCAGGTCCCTGCTTCTGATTCTACTACCCCAACAGACGATGGCTGAAGAGATTACACTCTCAACAACAGACTTGTAGAAGATCTGCAGCATCTTGCTACAGACATTGAAGGACCTAAGCGTCCTCAAGAAGTGCAGTCTGCTGTGTCCCTTCTTGTAAACGGCTTCGCTGTTCTTTCTCCAGTCCAGTCTGTTGTCCAGGTGAACTCCAAGGTATTTGTATTCCTCAACCACCTCCACTTCTTCTCCCATGAAATACAGAACGAGATTTTTTACATAATGGCTGACATGATAAAACAAATCAGCGACGAGGTGAAGGAAGCTGAATATTTAGCCATATTGGTGGATGAAAGTAAGGACATCAGCAAAAAAATAACTCATTTCAGTTCTAGTGCATTATTTGCAGCCAGAGTCAGGGAGAGCGGAGGAGGAATTTCTGCATTTTACCCCAGCAGATGGATTGGACGCAGACTCGCAGCATCAAGCTGACACTCAGCTATTGACATGAACTGTTGCGTCGGCCAGTGTTATGATGGCGTCGGCCAGTGTTATGATGGCGTCGGCCAGTGTTATGATGGCGTCGGCCAGTGTTATGATGGCGTCGGCCAGTGTTATGATGGCGTCGGCCAGTGTTATGATGGCGCCACGGTTACGTCTGGATGCAACAACAGAGTGCAGGAAAAGTTTAAAAAAGAAGTGCCACAAGCAGTTTATATGCATTGCAATGCTCACAGCCTGGATCTTGTGTTAGTCGACTGTGTGCATAATGTTGTTGCTGCAGCAGATTTTTTTTTGAGACACTGCAAATGCTTCACAGGTTTTTTTCCAGGATCAGTGGTCCATATGATCTTTTCTGAAAAAGCAGGATGAGCTCATATCAGCAGGGCAGCGCATAGAGCTCAAGAGACTAAGGCCCTGTCCACACGTAGCCGGGGATCTGCCAAAACGTAGATATTTTAATACGTTTTGGCCTGTCATCCACACAAAAACAGAGTGTTTTCACACGAAAACGGATCTTTTTTAAAACTCCGGCCAAAGTGAAGATCTGCGTTTTCTCCGTTTTGGGTGTCTGCGTGTGGACAGACAAAACCGGAGTTTTAAGGTCCGCAACGTCACTTTCCACGACGAAAAAATGCTGACATCACGTGTGCGACCTGTGTTTACACTAGCCGACAGCATGGATGCCCTCAGAGCTGCGCTCGCTTTATCAATTGTCCAAGCGCTTTCTGCTTGTTTGTTTTTGCAAGCGGATTTACTGCTGCTTGTGGAAGACCGCAGACGAAGGACGAGGTTAAGAACGGGGGAAGTACTGCCACCTACAGGTCTGGCATGTCCGGGTACGTGTGGACAGTTTTATTTTAAAACGCGGTGGTGTGGATGCAAGTTTTTGGAGGGGCGGATATTCGTTTTTAAAAAACCCGGCTACGTGTGGACTAGGCCTGAGTGACACTCGCTGGGCATGCCAGGATGATTCACTATGCGCTGTCAAAAAAAAAAACACTCCCATGGCTACACTGTGTGAAATTGTTCAGCAGAAAAACGCGAAACGGAGAACAGAGGCTACAGCTGTCAGTGCACTTATAGATGAGAAGTTTGTTCTGCATCTTTAGAACAACTAAATTCATGTCTGATCAGCTACAGTCTCCCAATTTGGATCTTGTGGCAGCAGACGACCTGACTCGTGCTGTAATCTCTGCAATATCAGAAAAGAGCACAGAAGAAAAATGGGAAATGCTCCGAAAGCAAGCTGAGGAGCTGTGCATGAAGACGGGAGTAGCAACACAGACTGCACAACGGGAGAAAAGGCAAACTCAAACAGCCAAATACCTGGAGGGTTTTATTGTGGATGCCCAAATAGAAGGAGCTGGTTTTTGCAGCATGGATGACCTGAAAACACAGTCCTTCTATCCTGTTATAGACAGAATGTTGGCGGAGTTTCAGCAGCGTTTTTCATCAGAAACAAACAATGCACTGCAAGGTTTGCCAGCATTAAGCCCCAAACATTCATTCTTCCTCGACAAACAATGCGTTCTGCCTGTGGCCCATCACTATGGAGTCAGTGAGGAGAACTTGGCAGCAGAGCTCCACTGGGTTTGCTGCAGAAGAAGAGCAGGGGCATCTACCTCTTACGTGGCCTCACAAAGATGCATTTCAGGACTTGTTTAAACTGATATCCATTTCTTTGACCCTTCCTGTCACATCAGAGAGCTGTGAGCGTAGTTTTTCATGTTTGCGACGTCTAAAAACTACCTGAGGAACAGCAGTGGGGACAATCGAACAAGTGATCTATTAACCCATTAAGAACATGGACACTGGACAGCAGCACAATTAGTGACACCTTTGCCCTCGACCACAACAGGAGGATTGTCCCGTTATGAAGACGTGATGGTAAATTAAACATTTTCCTTCTGACAAAGTTTGTTTTCATATACGTTTGTTTTCATCTGGGGAACACAGCTGATTCCTTGCGACACTACAGACGGTTTTCTGTGTGGCCGTGTGTGTTTATGATGTATATTAATGATTGTTTCAGACGTTGAGGTTTTGTGCACGCATGTGTGTCTTCTAATGTTGAAAGTGTTTTAGAGAACAATACGCATGACCACTTCCTTCATAGCACCAGCAGAAAAATCTTTCTGGAGCTGCCACATGACCCAGGAAAGGAAAGGTTAGGCTCCCTATAAGCGATAACGAGTGGTGCTTTGTCCAGGATTATTATGACAGGAGTTTTCATTTCCGGGCCCAGAGGGTCTGTATCCAGCAGGTAACTGTAGTTTGTAGTTCAACACACGTGATTTCAATCAGCAGGTGATTAACACATTTCTGCAGAGCCTGATGAGCTTCTGCAGGTGATTCAACCACTTGTGGCAATACGGGAGTGGTGTGTCGGAGCATAAAAAACACTAAAACGTGCTGGACACCGGTGTTCTGGCGGCTCTCCCTTCTTTTGTTGTCATTCAATTCTAGACATTACGGTAACTTAAACTATGCGCGATTATCAGGAAGCTTGTGTGCGTGTGTTTAATTGTCACCTGTATCGCTCAGCTCCGGGTCGCTCACGTGCTCGGTTAGTACGCTCCCGTAGTCCTTCAGCTTGTGCGTGATCTTCTGGTACACGTGCACGTCCTCTCTGCCACCGCGGATGCTACCACAGAAATAAATCTTCATCCTGCCTCCTCTCGTCCCAGCAGCTGGTTTCAGCTACTTCCGGCTGCTTCCCGCCAAATAAATCCAAGGGCTTTGTTTCCTGCGCACAGACTCGCAGGTGAACGTTGGCTGTCAGGCGATTTCTTTGTACAACTATATTTACGTTACACTCCGTGTTTTCTCGCATTCTTGTGTTTTTGATGTTAGATTCAAACTGTTAAAGGTGTTTTACACAAACACACAGACAGTGTAACTGGTTCTTGTGAAACTCCGTGTGCAAGTCACCTGACAGACCAAACCCAGGGTTGTCTGAAATGAAAAGTTCCCCCAACAAAGTCAACTTCAAAGTGAATCCATCTCAGAGAATCACGGTAAGATAATCAACCTACAAAGGTATTATTAAAATACAGTTTTTGTACATATAGAAATATTGAGCAAAGCCAAAAATATAGAGATGCAAAATTACATTTTAAATTTTTATCCAACCCTAAAATTAGTCATTTAAATTTTAACCCACTGACAAATTTTATTTTAATAATGATCAAAATAAAGTTATTCAAAAGAGTTTCATTAGGTCTTGAGTACATTGCTCATAATTAATGATTCAGCTTATTTGTGCATATGTAATGACTAAACATAATGTTGGTAAAATGCTTTATTAAAAATGCTATTATACATGTTGTACAAGTTTGTATTCATTTTTTCACAAATACCACTTTTTTATCTACCTTGTTTGACCATACAGTTTTATTGAAATTTTCTTTTTAATTAGTTGCTATTAGTAAGGCTATAGAAGCCAGATAAACGGGTTATAGATGCATGTACTGTCTTCACATAAAATTATAGAGTAACGATTGTAAAATGAATTCTACTGAACATAATAGATCATCATTGAAAGCATAAACAGCTACATGTTTTCTTCAAGGTAAGCTGGAGCAGAATTCTAGCTTTCAATAAACACTTTAAAATGGATGTTACAACTCCAGTTTAGGGTTCTTGTAGGACTTAAAGTTATTAAATATGCTTATTTTAGAGCAGTGTGTTGCATTACTGCATCAAATGTATTGCTATAGTATATTATAGTAATGTATGTGGTCTAAATGTGTTCTGCAATGTGTTAGGACGGTCATGTTCCTGTAATGTAGAACAGTCACGGGTGTTTGTCTTCTTACAAATGCTCGGAAAAATATAAATAGGCTACTTTGTGAAGGAGTTAGGACGTAATATATAATATTATTCAATAATTACCACAAATCGCCAGGGGAAATGTGATTATATAAAATTTGTATGATTTGTCCCACCATACGCCGTTCAAACTGACTTACGGCGCTGTGGGATGTTTGGAACTGAGAGCTCCATGAACCACGTGACCGCGAGTCGGCGAGTTCAGAGTGTCGTAACTCTCTCTTTCTACAGCTCTGACAGAAACTTGCCCTCCTCTCCCAATGATTGGACAGGAATTCGAGAAACATGATTGGTAGCTAAAACTCGTGCTCTCATTGTGTTGGAAAGAGTTGTTTCCAGAAAATGTGAAGGTAGAGTGCAGAATTTTCAGTTTAGAGTGGTGAGAGACATTTTTTTAAATTCAAATATTCTCAAAGAAATGAACCGTACGACCACAATGTTTGGAGTACATTCATTATTTATAGCTCAAAATGAAGGTATATCCGTTAGCTGCAAGCCAGCGTGTGTCTCATTTCAATCGGACTTACAGTTTTCTCAGGACAATGCCAGAAATGGAGCAAAGGAGGGTCATTGCTCCTATCTCTGCCCATTATAATTTTTGTGATTTTTTCTGAAAATCTCAAGCCGTACCTCAACTTCAACCTGTGATTTTAGAAAAACTGTAATAGATATCAAAAATATTTTTTAACCAGTAATAGCTGAAAGTCTTGTGAGTTTGTTGAAACCTGAATGAAGTCTCTAGGTTAAAGTTAACCTATAAGAGTAAGAGTTCAAAAAAGTGATAGGATTTAGCTGAAAATTGAGCAATCCCATTCATTTCAATGGGACCAAAAATCGCAGAAAAGCTGAATATCTCAAAAAGTATAAAATATTTTATTACCAAAAGTCATTGCCGGCATAAGCTGAACGAGCTGAACGTTTTGATACCAAAATTTTGTAAATAGTTGAAGAATTGTGGAAGTAGTTAAATGCCAACAAATGTACGGAAGCAGAATAATAAACCGACTAATAACTATAGAGAGAAACAGGATCACTATAGTTTGAATGCTTTACAGCATTCAAACAATTATTCCTCTGTCTGGATGAAGAACGAGGCTCTGTCATTTCCTTCTATTCTCATTTATCTAGTATCGATTAACAGGGTCTGCCTGTGGACGCGTGTGAGCCTTAATTGCCTATAAAGGATTGAATCCATAGATATATATATTAGCTAGATCCCTTACCCACGCTGTTCGTCAATTGACCCTGACGTCCGTACGCGGGGGGGCCATTTTACTTCGGACACCTGCCCCCTCCAACACTGGTGTTTAGTGGTGCATGCACTACTTAAACAACTCTTAACTTTCTCAATATTCAACCGATTTTCACAAGGTTTGAATTTTTTATTAACATTAGAGAAGTGGCTATTAAATAAATCAGTTTTAGCAGGAAACTCCCCTTATTTCACTCCATTTTCCAGCCGTTTTCCCCTATCCTTTCAATTTCCCATAGACTTACCGTTTTAATGTCAACAAGATTTGTTTCTGATGAACTAGCTGTAGTTTGTAAACCGAGGTCATCTTAAATATGCGTTTTAAGATACCTTATAACTTACCATATCAACTTATAAATAAAAACTCAATACCTGATTTAATTTACAGAAAATAGTAAAAAAAAAAATACACAGAAGCAGCAAACAAAATTTAAGGTTAACACCCAGTCCAAGAAACAAAAAAGCAAATCTCTAGAACCTCAAAGAAAATATTTTATAAAACGACAAATGAAGATACACAGAATAGATTTTCTTTACTTTGACTTTAATATTTGCAAGTAATATGAAACTAATATATACTTGCTTTGGCAAGTTATTTTAATAATTTATATTTATTCTATCTATCCCCATAAATACGCTGGTAAGTGAGAAGGGCAACCTTGTAATCAATTCTAGATGAAACAGGGAGCCAGTGAAGAGATTTAAGAATGGGCGTAATATGGTTATATTTGCGTCCTCTCATCAGGATCCTAGCAGCACAGTTCTGAATATACTGCAGCTTTTGAAGGATTTTTCCAGTAGTCCCAATGAGAAGTGCATGGCAGAAATCCAGCCTGGAGGAGACAAACGCATGGACCAAATTTGCCGCATCAGCAAACGTTAGTGCTGGATTCAGTTTTGCTATATTCCTGAGGTGGAAAAAAGACGTTTTACACAGTTACTTGACATGGGCCTCATACGTCAAACTCGAGTCCATTTTAACCCCAAGGTTTATAACAGATGTTGACAGTGGGATATCCTGACCAGAAATGGTATACAGTTGATGTTAGATGACCTAACCTGGTGTGGGGTGCCTACTAAAATAGCTTCAGTCTTCGAGCTATTTAGCTGCAGGAAATTTTGCTTCATCCATGACTTTATCTCCTCCAAACAGATGGTCAAAGTGGATGATGGCGGAGTAGACGAGGAGGTGGAATTTATCCTGAGATAAAGCTGAGTATCATCAGCATAACAATGGAATAAAATACCATGCTGGCTGATGATATGGCCCAGGGGAAGCATATATAATACGAACAAAATCGGACCGAGCACGGAACCCTGAGGAACACCACAGGTGACATTGTGTATAGCAGATTTAGCCTCTCCCAGGGCAACATGCTCCATTTTTTCAGAAAGATAAGATGAGAACCATTTGTACAGAGAGTCCAACAGTGTGACATAATCTGTGAAGCAGAATGTTGTGATCAACAGTATCAAAGGCTGAGGACAGGTCCAACAGGATGAGAAGCGATGGGAGACCAGCATCAGCCGATATCGGCATGTCATTCGTAACTATAACCAGAGCTGTTTCCACGCTGTGGCAGGAGCGGAAGCCGGGCTGGAATTTCTCAAACAAATTATTTGCTTCTAGATGAGACTGAAGCTGTGCAGCAATTACTTTTTCCAGTATTTTAGAAAGAAATGGGAGGTTAGAAATGGGCCTGTAGTTTGCAAGTACTTCTGGATCTAAAGTTGATTTTTTTTAAAGTGGTCTAATGATGACAGATTTCAATGTAGCGGGAATATATCCGGTCTGGAGAGAGTGATTTATTATCCTGGTAATCAGGGGACGTAGGGAACAAATGTTGGGTTTAACCAAAACTGTTGGAAAAGGGTCCAGAGCACAATTTGATGGTTTCATCTTTCTGATAATGACCTCAACCTCTTGCTGTGTAACTGTAGAGAAACAGCTAAAGGGTTGAAAGTTCCCTGGCTGTGGGTCATCCAACAAGACAGGAAGTGCAGAGGAACTCGATTAAGACGAGCAGATGGTACCCACTTTTTTCCTGAAGAAGGTAATGATGTTATTGCAGTTCCCCTCTGTAGCTTCCATATGAGATTGAAATTGTGGTTTCAACAGGCGAATAGGCGATTTATAGTAGAGAACAGTTGCTTTGAATTTCCAGAGCTATTGTTAATGACATTCGAGTAAAACTGTGATCTTGCGGCTCTCAGTGCTCTTGCACATGCCTTCTGATGTTCTCTGTAAGCTTGCTTATGAACAGTGAGCCCTGAAGCCAGTAGACGACGCTCGAGAACACGCCCAGTTGTCTTCATCTTCCTCAGCAAACATGTATAGCAGGGGACTGAACGTGAAAAACAGACGGTTCTGTATCTGACAGGGGCATGAACATCAAGGAGACTGCCGAGGGATTTGTTGTAGAAGTCAACTGACTCAGTGACTGAGGAACATTCAGCAGAGGAGAGATTCTGAAGATCTTTGTGTTGATCTTATTCAAGTTTCTGTAGCGTATCTGTCCCTTTGCATTTGTGGGTGAACAAGAGAGTGACAACTCCATTGAAATGACCTTGTGGTCAGACACCCCCAGATCATACGCAAAAAGGTTGCTAATGGGTACAGAGTTTGTAATAACCAGATCCAAGGTATGCCCTCTGGAATGTGTAGGAACATCAACATGCTGTCGGAGATTAAGGCAGTCCAGTAGTTGTAAAAACTCAGATGCCAAATGTAAATCTTCCGATGAAGTTCAATTATTAAAAACAATTGTAGTTATTTTTGTTCAGGCACAGAAGTGACTAGAAAAGGTGATGCTACGTCATGAAGAGGCCCTGTGTGGACAGTGTGTAAAGGTGTCGGTTTGTGGTTCGCGCCCGCTGCTCCAGAGAGAACAAGCCAAAAAAAAAATCAATGCAGCGTGGGGCAAATAAAGTTGCCAAACAGAAAACGGAGTCCTGTCTGTTTTGGGAGTGCAACAACTGCGTAAGCAACTTTCCCCGCAAACTTTGGGATTTATGAAAGGAAACTTAGCGGAAAAATGTGCGCAACTGAGTTGATTAAGGACCTGGCTTACTCACATTTTGGACATGGAGAGCACCTGCAGTGCTGCTTGGAAGGATAAAATTATGAAAACCTGCAGCATTATCACTTGTACTGCTTCGTTTTCACACAGAATAAGACCCCCCACACGCACGCACACACACACACAGCCTGAAGCGCAGAATGCAGAAAATCAGCAGGGGGACTGGTTGAGACAGAATGTCATGCGTCTGTAACAGTGTGTGTCCTGTCACTGTGACCCGATTGATCATGCGCCCTGGCTACTTGGACAAGAAAGATTTCTGTTGGGCTGACTGGTTAGTGCATGTAACTTTCATCTGAGTCTGGGGATTGAATCCTGATTGGATCTTTTTTTTTTAAATATCTGCCACAGATCTCTCTGAAGAACTCAGCATTGAGGGCTGCAGCAACGCTGTGTCACTCCGTGGATTTTCTCTTGTTTTGCAAAAGCACTTCCTTTCATTTCTCCACCTCACCCACAGGTACCTCAACTTCTGCTCGTGAAGTAGCGCTTCCTTGATCTGCGGCCGTGATCGAAATGCTGCAACGAACCAGCTTATGTATATGCATGAGATCCACAAGGCACTTTGCATCGACCATTTATGGCAGTAAGTGGGCGTGGTGAGGGCGGGACGTGACTAAAATGCAGCTGAGAAACATTCTCGTTAGTCTCTGATTTATGAAGCGGAGATTGCGTGCAGCTGTGCGTACTCCATGTTTGATAGACCACAAACCTACTTGGCGCAAGTACAATTTTTTTGCTGAGCTTAAGTACGGTTTTAGTAAGGATTCTACGCAATGGAGGGAATTCCCTTGTCCGAGGTGTTCTTATATTTAGGAACATTTTCCACGCACAAGTACAAAAGGAAGAATACTACACAATATGTATATTAGTTCCTACACACGAAATACACAAAGGTCTGTGCACAAGTACAGCCCTGAGGTAGGTCTGAACTAGACCAGGACAGTCGTAAAGCTTTCCACAAAAGGGGTCTGAAAACTGTCGAGACTTTCCACACAAACTTTGTGATTTATATATATAAAAAAAATCAAACCAGATGGAAAGTCAACCTGACAGTGGCACAAGCACATTATGGAGACAGGAACCTGGCAGCGCAGATTTAAGACACATTTTCAGACTTCTAGACCTTCACACCGCCCCAGCAGCCCCCTCTCTGAAGGAGGACCTTAATGAAAGTGTAACTTTCACTCCGCTCATCGTTTTATCCTGTTTGGTTTTTTAACCGACTCGTGAAGCTCTTTGTTCTACAGCACCTTTAGACTGACCAAAGTCTGACCTTTCACGTTCATTAGAGTAAAACTACTAAAGAGTAGAAATACTTTGATACTTTATTGCAGGTATTAGCAGAGAGACAACTACACTTATCAGAACAGAGATAATCGGAGATTCCCACTAAACACGAAACAGAGACGAGTCCTCTATAAAGTTATTGATCTCTAAAAATCTAAAATGCTTTAAGTGAATGAAATAAAGTCTTAGATAAGTTACAAGCAGCCCCCTCATCCCCCCACCCCACCCCTTCACTGGGCCATCAGCATCCCCCCCAGGCTCCTCACGGTAGCGTTGAGCGTCACTTCAGGAACATCTCGGACCACCCGCTGGATGGGAGCCATGTTGTGTCCTTCAAGAGAATCCAGCAGTCCTGAAACAGCAGAAAAAGTCAGGATTAAAACCAGAAGGCAGACTTTCCGATTGGTCTGATCGGATCTGTTGATCGGCTCTAGACCAAGTCTGATTGGGACTATTGATTAACTCTCAAGTGGACTCTGGACAGAGGTCCTTTGAAGCGCAGGAGCCACTCCTAAGGGCCTTCTATGACTCAGTGGTGGCATCAGCCATCATTTATGGTGCGGTCGGCTGGAGCAGACCTCCAGGCTGGAGTTTGTGCTCTTGATGAACATAACATCTATGATAGCTTCCAGTCAGGTTTTCGTAGAGCTCATTCTACTGAAACAGCTCTTCTTAGGGTCTCTAATGACCTTCTGACCCACAGTGATGCAGGGGACTGATCTGTTCTGGTCCTGCTGGACCTGACTGCAGCCTTTGACACTGCTGACCATCACCTGCTACTGGAGAGGCTAAGAGACTGGGTAGGCCTATCAGGAACTGCTCTGGAGTGGTTCTCCTCTCATCTGTCTGAGCGCTCCTTCTCTGTGGCCGTCTCCAATGGTCCATCTGACCATTAACAATGCTGGAGGGTTAAAAAGCAGCTGTAAACTCGCCTGTTCAGGTTTGGCGTGACATTCATCACCACCCTCTCCTTATTCCGCCTTCCCCAGGACCCACCGATTTTCCTCTTTCCTATTCACTCTCTCTCTCTCTGTGCATTTTTTAAAATCAGAATTGTCTATTTTTGCTTATTTGAAACTTATTTTTTATCATTTTCTAAATTCTTTTTTTATACATTTTAAATCTGTTTTTGTGAAGCGCCTCGTGATTTTATCTTGAGAGGCGCTGTAGAAGAGATTGTTTCTTTTTCTTCTATATAGATGGTAAAGTGTAGTTATACTGAAGTTCTACATTTGTAATGCCGAGTCTGATGTTCTGTTTGGAGTTAGTTTTGTTGTCTGAGCTGCCAACCAGTTTGGTTACCGTAGCAACTTAACAAGATGAGCACGCTCACAGAAGAAGTGTTCCCTCCAGAGAGCACGCTCTGACGGTGTCGGTGCAAGATCGGCTCGGGGTCCTTCGACTGCCGATGACGTCAAAGTACGGCAAACCCACTCGGACAAAATACACTACACATCTATACTGTTGGAAAGAATTTAGCAGTTTCGTTAATAAAATAATGTTTCTTAAGACGTAAGTTTGTGTTTATAATGGTATTTGTAAAATAAAACACTATATTTTATTCATAATGTTGAACTCCTCTTTGAGCACATCCCTTGAAGAATCATAGGTATTAGCAACACCTGTGAAATTGTATTTGCAGGAAAGAAGTGTGTCCCGTTTATTGAAGTATTTTGTGTTTAGCGTTTTTGACATCTTGTCCATGAGCAGTTCAGGTACGCTCATAGCTGCTAGCCAAAACTCTGGAGTTAAAAGTTTTCTGGCTTTACTAAAATACCTGTCTGTACTTATTTGATTGATGGTAGTTTTACTTTCTATTAGACTCCAAATGTAATCATTTGGCACGTTTCTAATTCATAATTTGTAATAATGTAATCGGTGATATTAGCATTAGCATTCCTATGGGTTTTTCCATGTATATTAGCATTGCGCTAACCACTCGCTGCCAAATTGCAGCCTTTGCGATTAGAAAATCTCCTTTTGTCACATCGCAATTTAATTGCACACGCGGTTAATCGTTCAGCCCTAATATACATGCAGCTCTATGCTAAAAGTGTATTTTCAAAGAGGTAATGATGGATTTCTTTGTAAAAGTTGTCTTTCCAACAGAAAGATTTGCCTGGACCAACGTACCGTGATAACAACGTAACGTGATTACGTAATTCCATAAGGTTCATGTTCAGCCAGTCAACTACTTAAGACGTCATCGGCAGTCGACGGACTCCGAGCCAATCTTGTACCGACACCGGGTCCTCCTAGCAACAGCAGCTCAGCCGTGCTACCGCGTCAGGGTCCCGTGGGCCACAGGCGTCATTCTAGGCTCTAACAGCGGGTATGTGAGACAGCGGTTTCTCCACGGACATCATTACTGGTTCTGTCCTGTTCTAAAGCTTGTTTTAGTCCCAGTTCTGGTTTAGGTTCTAAACAAGTGTCCGATTCAGACGGGGACTATTTCCATGATTAGGGCCTGGACCCTGGTTCGGATCCAGGTTCTGGCTCTGACCTTCCAGGATTTGGTGGTAGCTGAAGTGCAGGTACAGCAGGAAGCTCATGTGCAGCAGAGCCAGCATCCCACAGAGCAGCAAACGAGGAGTCTGACCCACGGTCCGAGAAAGCAGAACCGCTACCTGAGAAACAAACACATGAATCCTGAGAGGAAGTACACCCTCGGGGCCTGATGGGAAACGAGCTCATACCATCCGTAGCGTGGACAGTCCTCCAATCAGAAGCCACATGGCGTAGAACAGCAAGTGGAAATGAATGTTGTAGGTAACGAGGAGGACGACGCAGTGACCAAACAGGCCATAACCCTGGCAACAAGACACAGGAAGTGGGTTCAGCTGTCACACTGAGGTGAGAAAGAGTGCACCAAATGGTCCTGGTGCTGACCAGCAGGGAGAGCATCTGCAGCATTGTGATCTGAGCGTTGACCAGGTAAGCCAGGAAGTAGATGAAGGAGGAGACGCCGAGCCAGTAACCGAAACAGGTACCGATGGCCGTGCCCATCAGAGTTCCCTCCCTCTGCAGGAAAACACACACACACACATTACTTATCTTGGTCGGAGTGTGTGTGGAGCGGGAACATCTGAAGGACGTGGACAAAATGACCTATCAGCACCTTCTGAAGCTGCCAGACTGGTTTGTGGAACATGTCAGACTGCTCCATGGTAAGACCTTTGTGTGTGTGTGTGTGTGTGTGTGTGTGTGTGTGCGTGTGTGTTTCAGAGAGATGATCAAGCAGCTCGACCCAGGTTACCATGACAACTACCTACCAGACTGATCCCATTTCACCACCATGATGGAAAAGATGAATTAAACTACTTTTAAGGTGTGTGTGTGTGTGTGTGTGTGTGTGTGTGTGTGTGTGTGTGCGTGCGTGCGTGCGTGCGTGCGTGCGTGCGTGCGCTTACGATGACAGTCCCAGACGTCTTCATGCCGTGCAGCAGGATTGCCACCAGAGTGAAGACGAGCATCAGCGGTCCATACAGCTCACCTGCAACCTTCTGCACAGGAAGTGCTGTAGGTCAGAGGAGGAACACCTGAGAAGCTGTGTGTGTGTGTGTGCAGGTGAGCCCACCATACCTGAGGGAAGCTGATCATGCGGACGGGGATCATGGACTCCATTAGCCTAAAACGTTTACACCTCAGAGTCACAACAGAAAGCAGGAAACAGCTGACAGAAACAGGAAGTGGAAAGCCAGCCTACCTGCTGCGAACCTGCGACGGTTCTACATCAAAATACGGCCTCAGGATGTCGATGTTCGCGTACAGGTTGAAGGCTTTGGAGGCCTGCCGCTTACCCGCTTGCCACACCTGAAGGTTGAACACACGTTATTTCAGCTAGGGGCCGAGTGGGCGGAGCTTATTTCTGCTCCTGGAAAAGCTGCATCTCCCACTGAAGACCTAGCTAGGATAGAAGAGTTCCAGACAGAAGGAGGATCTGGTTTTCCTTCCATCACTCCCGGTGTGTGTCGAAGACAAAAACACACACACAGGACACGCTGGAGGACCAGCGTTGGACACACCTGCTCTAGATGTTTCACAAGTTCTCAAGATGGACTCGGTCATATGATAGGATGCAGAAGAAGATTGCCATGGAGACAGACAAACTTGCTCCTGTTTGAGACACGTGGGACCGACGTCTCTCAATCCGTGATGTGATATCCTTCCAAGGTTTGTGCCCCCAGTCACCACCTAAAGAGGCTGACCCTGGAAAGCATCACAAAAGTGCCCAAGGGCGTATCTGCATGGATCACACCACCACTACAGCTGAGGACACATCCAGAAGCAAAGCATGCGTGTGTGTGTGATGGAGGGACACCAAGGAAAGGAAAACACAGCATCGACTTCAGACCACGGCTCGCCACCTGCCCACAAAGATGAATGGGAGTCTACGAGAGGATAAAAGGCACGTTGTGATCCCACCTGACGTGCCAACGCACATTTTCATGCCAAGAAAGCGCTGATTAGTTATTCTAGGTTTCGTGTGAGAAGACGTAGAGGACTACAGATGTTGGTAGTCGTCATCAAACCAGACACGGACGAGAGGAGCTTCACATCCTTCTTCCAGGACAACGGGAGGAGGATTAAACCACCGTAACGCTGCTCGTGGCCAGTAGTGGCTACGCTGGGGGATGACAGTCATCACTATTCATCATTTAAACTGAAGTACAACACGTGTGAGATCCAGGGTGTAAGACAGATAACCTTTCTGACCCCGTTCAGGGACTCGTGAGCCCACAGGAAGAGGAGGAGCCTCGGGCGAAGCTCGTGAGGCTGAATGTTTAGATCTGAAACGCGTTCATTCCCTCTATGGACAGCAGAGGTGTTGGTGGCCTGAGGGTGATGTAAATGGAAAAGTCTGTATTTGTACAGCGGCTTCTTACAACCGCCCAAGGTGCTTTACTCCACCATCACCCATTCTTATGCTGATGGAGATGAGCTATCATGAGCACAGGCGCCACCTCTGACCACCACCAGCAGGCAAAGGTGCCAAGTGTCTTGCCCAAGGACACAACAGCAGAAGTCTCTGGTCAGAGCCAGGATCGAACCTGCAACCTTCCGATTACCGGACAACCCGCTCAACCTCCTGAGCTGCTGCTGCCCCAAACAGCAGTAGCTGCGGTCCTGTTGGCTTCGCCAGCTTTCGCTGGAGCGGTTCGCCGCCGAGTGTGAAGCAGCTGGGATGAGAATCAGCTCCTCTAAATCGGAGACCATGGTCTTTAGTCGGAAAAGGGTGGAATACCTTTTCCAGATCAGGGATGAGGTCCTGCCCCAAGTGGAGGAGTTTAAAGAGCAAGTCACCCCTTACAAGAAGCATACTCCACTCCCACTTCATGTTTGAAAAATGCAACAAATGCTGTTGCCTAGCAGACCGAGAGGGTGGAGCCACTAACAAATACACACACTCACGACATCGTGACATCATAATGTACCAGTTTACATCATAGCATACCTCTTAGCCAATAGCGGTGGCAGATTTAAATTCAAATGCAGTGAAGAGTTTTTACCTGACAACGGCACAACACTGACAGTTTCAGGCAGAAAATTTAAATTTTAACTAAAATGCACTAAAGTGCAAAACTACTGACTACACGTGTCTGCAGCACGATTAGACACACATTTATATAGTTTATCAGAAAAAAAATAGTTGATTTGGGGGTGACTTGCTCTTTAAGTACCTCGGGGTCTTGTTCACGAGTGAGCGAAAGCTGGAGGAGCCACTTGAGGTGGCTCCAGCATCTGGCCTCCCGGGTGAGGTTTTCTAGGCACGACCAACAAGGAGGAGACTTAAAGGAAGACCCAGGACACCCTGGAGGGACTTTGTCTCTCGCCTGGCCAGGGAACACCTTAGGATTCCCCGGAGGAGTTGGCCCAAGTGGCTGTGGAGAGGGAAGGCTGGGCCTCTCTGCTTAGGCTGCAGCCCCCACAACCTAACCTTGGATAAGTGGCAAAAAATGAATGGATGGATACACTCTAGACTCAGCTAGGCTCTTCATTGCTATGGTAACGGGCACAGGCCAGCTCCGACCGGCCAGTAGGACAGAGCGCTCAACTGGCTGCACTCACCTCGTCAGCCACCTGTCGACCCAGCTGACCCTTTAACCCCTTCATCCCGAGAAATTCTCCATCATCTGCACCGTCGTCTTCAGCTGCCGCGGCTTCTGCAGACACCTCCTCCTCCTCCTTCATCCTTTGATGCATCTCGCCAACGTCCTCAAAGCTGGAGCCAGATGTGTCGTCCATGTTCTCCATGTCAATGACAGCTGAGCTGCCACCCTGGGAGGACAAATCAGAACATTACTCAACCAATGTCCTGCTCAGCTGAGCAGATGATCAGTGGGAGACTGCTCTAAGAGAGTACACATCCTGGCTCATCCCTTTAGCTATGCTGCTACAGGCCAACTGCTGGAGTACATCTCACCCCTCCACCGGCTTTACTCTCCATCTCTGCATCTGCTGCTGCCATCCCCTTTCTTCTCTCTCATAATTACCGCACTAGTGTTCTACTCGGTTAGTTATGACGCGGCCAACACCACCCGTGTTAGTGGACACGTTAGCATGTTAGCTCACCTGGATCAGGTTGTCGTCAAACCCTCCCCACGGTTCCGTGTTCCTGGAGCCCGCAGACATGTTACCCGCAGCCGCTTAGCGGGTCACGGTGTTGGGTGAACGGGTCTCCAGCGGGCTGGGTGTCTGTCTGACTGAAACTGGACTCGAACCGAGCTACTCGGGTTTTGATGTTTTTAGCTGTAAATGACGCAGTTCATGCTCCGCACTCATTGGCTGGAGATTCTTCTTCGTTAAACAACGTGAGGAGATTACCGCCCCCTTCTGGGCCGGAGCGTGGATCTCCGCCGTCAGCAGGTTAAACCAAGTACTCAAATCTTTATAACTTTATTTTTGCACACTTGACACAATCTGGTAGTCAGCACGGGTCTAGGTCTACAACTGTAGCATTAGCACATTCAGTGGAGGGAACTGTTACATCAACCGTTTAAAAAGTATGTCATAGGGATGAATCACAGCCAGTTATGACACAAACATATTCTGTCCAGCAGCGAACTAGAAGCTGCAGCCCAATCAGAACTGTGCTTCATCGTGGTTCGATGAAAATGAGCTCTCATTAACTACAGCAAAACAAAATGGATATCATTTGGTTTTGGAAACATTAATACCCAATTCCAGCTAAGTATAGATGGACACAACACAGGCGTTAAGTGCTCTCCTTGTAATCTGAAGGTTGCAGGTTTGAGCCCTGCTCAGTCTGTTGCTGCTGTTGTGTCCTTGGGCAAGACACTTAACCCACCTTGCTTGCTGGTGGTCAGAGGGCCCGGTGGCACCAGTGTTTGGCAGCCTCGCCTCTGTCAGTGCGCCCCATGGCAGCTGTGGCTACATCGTAGCTCGTCCCCACCAGCGTGTGAATTTGTGTGTGAATGGGTGAATGACTGATTGTGTTGTAAAGTGCCTTGGGGGGGTTCCAGGACTCTAGAAGGTGCTATATCAAATACAGGCCATTTCACATTTAATAACAGATGACAAATCACACATTAAATATATGCATTCTAGGGTACCAAGAAGCATCCCTGAATAAAGCCAGGCCACTCTTGGATGGTCAGTCACTTTATCTCCTATACGATTCATTCATTCATCCTGTTTTGACTTACTGTGTAGAGATTTGGGGCAACATGTACAGAAGTTCACTTTTGTCTCTGTCGAGGGTCATCGGGGTCACAGGGTTTACCCTAACCTAAAAACAGCTGTATTTAAGTACAAAGTACACAATCATTTATTGCCTGATAAGTTATTAAAACTATTCATCAAAAAAGATGATCTATGTAACTACAGACAAGCTCACCTTCATACCATACCATACCAGCGTTCGTATGCGAGAACAACAGTGAAATGGTTTAGTATAGGGTTAGCCTGTTTGTGGCGTGAAACTGTGGAACAAGTTAGATTTAGACCTCAAGCAATGCCAAACAGCGAGTTAAAAATCAGACGTTTATGTGAAGGAAGAGAACTGACGGTCTATTTTAGATCACTGGTGGCAGACCCAGGGGACTTCTGGCCCATGGGAGCATGTCTATGGGGCTGTATGTGTAAGTTTCTATCATTGTTTTGTTATATCTTCTATGTTTGTGATATTTCTTAGTTTGATTTAACTTGTTCAATAAACCATTCTTTCATTCATTTATTGACCAAATGATCATTTTTGTATAAAAACCTATTTTCTTCTGATTTTTACGAAGCAGTAATTCCACATGAGGAGTGCTGATTTGTCTCCAACATGATAAACTTGCAGGTGAAAGGAAAAAGACCTTAATTAACATTATCAAAATCACATCTGTAAGTAGAAGATTACTACGCCCTACACTCAGAATGAATCCATGATGTGTTTATGGGATGAGGAAGGTGGTCCGAGGCACAGCCCACGCGTTTCGCTGGCCTACGACCTTCGCATCCTGTGACTGATTAGATGTTTTTGTTTGTATTCATAATTTGATTCCATTCATTGATTCAAGTCATCCCAAACCCACAACACGTAATTAATCATTTCAAATCTGCAGCAGATGGAGGCAAAACAATCATTTATATTGGGAGTTTCTTGGGCTGCTGAAAGGTTCAAATCACACTGAAAAATATTAAAATAAACTGCTGAAGATTTTAAAAGAACATTAACTATAATGAGATGTTCTCATTGCTAATATTATTACTAAAATTTAAACTACTGATTTAACCTGGTTAAAATATATTTATGTCCCGTTATTCCAGCAAAATGCGTTGCTATCCATGTTTATTTAAATCGTACTTGTGTAATTGTATTAATGTGACTTCAATTAGATCCATGAATAAAAACCAGATTGTTGTAAAGTGCTGTAAACACCTGAGGCATGGTGGACCATAGACATGTTTACATATGTAACCGGGTCACCTTAGTTCCCGGAAGTTATCCTGGTTATACCTGTCATGCCGCTGACACAGGGGAGGCCAGGTGTGTAATCAGAGGGCTGCTACAGGTGCTGGCCAGTAAATTAGAATATCATCAAAAGGTTGAAAATATTTCAGTAATTCCATTCAAAACGTGAAACTCGTACATTATATTCATGCAATGCACACAGACCAATGTATTTCCAATGTTCATTACATTTAAATTTGATATTCATAAGTGACAACTAATGAAAACTCCAAATTTGGTATCTCAAAAAATTAGAATATTCTGAAAAGGCTGAATATAGAAGACACCTGCTGCCACTCTAATCAGCTGATTTACTCAAAACACCTGCAAAGGCCTTTAAAAGGTCCCTCAGTCTTGTTTTGAAGGCACCACAATCATGGGGAAGACTTCTGACTTAACAGCTGTCCAAAAGACAATCATTGACACCTTGCACAAGGAGGGCAAGACACAAAAGGTGATTGCTAAAGAAGCTGGCTGTTCGCAGAGCTCTGTGTCCAAGCACATTAACAGACAGGCGAAGGGACGGAAAAAATGTGGTAGAAAAAAGTGTACAAGCTCTAGGGATAACCGCACCCTGCAGAGAATTGTGACGACAAACCCATTCAAAAATGTGGGGGAGATCCACAAAGAGTGGACTGCAGCTGGAGTCAGCGCTTCAAGAACCACCACGAGGAGACTCATGAAAGACATGGGATTCAGGTGTCGCATTCCGTGTGTCAAGCCACTCTTGAACAAGAAACAGCGCAAGAAGCGTCTCGCCTGGGCCAAGGACAAAAAGGACTGGACTGATGCTGAGTGGTCCAAAGTTATGTTTTCTGATGAAAGCAAGTTCTGCATTTCCTTTGGAAATCAAGGACCCAGAGTCTGGAGGAAGAGCGGAGAAGCACAGAATCCACGTTGCATGAGGTCCAGTGTAAAGTTTCCACCGTCAGTGATGGTGTGGGGTGCCATGTCATCTGCCGGTGTTGGCCCACTCTGTTTCCTGAGGTCCAGGTCAATGCAGCCGTCTACCAGGAAGTTTTAGAGCACTTCATGCTTCCTGCTGCTGACCAACTTTATGGGGATGCAGACTTCACCTTTCAACAGGACTTGGCACCTGCACACAGTGCCAAAACCACCAGCACCTGGTTCAAGGACCATGGTATCCCTGTCCTTGATTGGCCAGCAAACTCGCCTGACCTTAACCCCATAGAAAATCTATGGGGTATTGTGAAGCGGAGGATGCAATACGCTAGACCCAACAATGCAGAGGAGCTGAAGACGACTATCAGAGCAACCTGGGCTCTCATAACACCTGAGCAGTGCCACAGACTGATCGAGTCCATGCCACGCCGCATTACTGCAGTTATTGAGGCAAAAGGAGCCCCGACTAAGTATTGAGTGCTATACATGCACATTCTTTTCATGTTCATTCTTTTCAGTTGGCCAACATTAGAGAAACAAACATTTTTTCATTGGCCTTTAGAATATTCTAATTTTCTGAGATACCAGATTTGATGTTTTCATTGGTTGTCACCTATAAATATCAAATTTAAATGTAATGAACATTGGAAATACATTGGTCTGTGTGCATTGCATGAATATAATGTACAAGTTTCACGTTTTGAATGGAATTACTGAAATATTTTCAACCTTTTGATGATATTCTAATTTACTGGCCAGCACCTGTATAATTAGGGCAGCTGGGGTCTAGCCGCAAAAGCGGAATGCCTCGCTTTGGGCGCGGACGTGCAGCTAAGTGGTGAGTGACCTGGCTTTGCTTCAGTTTAGTTAACGGTTATATTTTTAATCGGTTCCTCTTTACGAAGTGTGAGCTGGACTGAGGGGTGAACAGCCGGAATTTTCATTGGCAAGCGGTCGGCCGATGAGGTACTGGTTTACAACATTCACAGCATTTTTATGTTCCGTTAGAATAGGACTAACAATGCGTGTTTTGTTCACAGACCTTAGCCTGCTACTGTTTTTCCAGTTCTTTTATTAAATCTTTTCTAGTTCCTTTACTAAACCGTTTGCCGGTTTATCTTATTACTAATCGTTTTCTCCAGAGGGGGAAGGAAGCAAACTTGTTTGAGTCGGGTGGTTAGCGTTAAGCACAGTGCTGTCTCTAGGAGGCTAGTTTCTTTTGTATCCGCTAGGAGTTTGTCGGGGGGTTTACTCACTTCTGGGTGACGTGTGCAGGGCCGTCGGACTGGGAGGAAAAGGGTACCGTTTACCCAGGGCCCACTGCAGGGAGGGGCCCTGAGACGGCTTTGAATAAAAATGTTTTATTGTTGTTGTTTTTCCCCCCAAACTTACTTAATATCTTAATGAACTTCCCTTTACCTGGATAAAGGGGTTAAGAAACAGAATTTCGCCTTAAAAATAATAACTGAATAATCTCTGAGGCATCTATCACCCCTTAAAAAGTGGTTTAGTCCACACCTGCGGCCAGGGGCTGCACGGCTGCATGTACAGCTATGAGACATCGCAGATGCCGACAGCCAGAGCTGGAGGCAGGAGAGTCAGTCATGTCTTTTCCCAAGAAAGGGAAATCTGGCTTCCAGAAAAGGAGAAAAAGTTAATTGAACAGAACAGAAGCAAGTATTGACTAGGTTTTTCAAGAAGAAAGGTGAGCAGCAGCAGCAGAACAGTTTTAGCTGATATTAGCTAGCTCTCAGAAGCTGCATTCATGTTAGGTGTTCAGTGTTAAACGCCTTTAGTTTCACCATCAAGATCAAATATAAATTAATTAGTGTTATCAGTGAAAAAAAAAAAATATATATATTTTTTTTTTTAATTATTATCGCGGGCGGCTGGCGCCAATTAATTCGTGGACCTCGCAGTAAAAACAGGTTCACTCTGTGTGGATATTTCGGCTCCTTCCCAGTCATGGACCAGGACAAACTTGGTATCGATGGATTCGTGGTAATCACAGGAATGAGAAGCTGCCACTGTTTTTCATATAGCATGATGACACTGGTGTTGGAGGATTGTTATTGACTTGGTTAGATATTTTAAGCCTATTTTAAATTTCTTTATATTTGATCTTGAAAATGGACAATCTTATAATTAAGCTGATAATGCAGGGATTATAAAATTTGGAGTACATTACATTCACAGAGAGAACCTGGTTTATTTCATGTCATATGTATTTAATATATCAATCAGTATTAGCAAAGCTTAACATCATGAACCATGACAGACATGACTGAAGAGCAGATGAAGATATCATGCCAGGCACTGATGAGAAAATATTACAAGGATCTCACAGCTGAATTTGAGAATGAGATGCTACACCTGAGAACAATATATGGTGCCACATTCCCACACATTCGGTCTCCCCTTGAGCTGCTAAATGCCATACAGGATGCAATTACAGAGCATTTTTGGAGAAGTTTGTATTAAACTGAGGATTTTTTGCACACTACCTGTGACTGTTGCTGGGGGTGAACGGGCTTTTAGCAAAGTGAAACTGGTGAAAAATTATTTGAGATCAACAATGTCCCAGGATAGACTGAACAGCCTAGCTCTTCTTTCTATTGAAAGCCAATTAGTCAAAGGATTGGACTTTAAAGATCTCATAAGTGATTTTGCTAACATGAAGACCCGTCAGTGGGCATTTACTGGAAAATAAATTCCAGGATTTTTGTTTGAACACATTGTTGGCAAATAAAAAATAATTATATGTGAAGTCTGGGCATTTCATTTTTATTATGCTGGCATTTGTATTTGCTAATATAGAGGTTAAACTAAGATCATATTTATTATTTTTATAGCATGACAAAAATGTGTAAGAGAGATATTACGTAATTGAGCATGGGGGCCCACCTAGAAGACTTGTACCTAGGGCCCAGAATTTGGTGCTACGCCCCTGGACGTGTGTATGAGCTTTAGTTAAAGGGAGCACTGAGTGTTTTTCTTTATATTATTGTCTCTTGTGTCGGTTCCCTACAGTGGCTTTGTGCTTTTGTGTGTAGTCCCAGGGCCAGCATTGTCGTCGCTCCTCCCTCTCGTGGTTTAGAGTTTTAGCCTATTTTTATCACCGACCTGGGTTGTCTTTAATAAATCTCCTGTTCTGTATCTTCTGAATAAAATTGTTAAACTTGTGAATAAGCCTCTGCTGTTTCCTTCAGTTATCGCGAGACTTCATCTTCATAGCGATTTTTTTTTCTTTCCGTGACGTGAACGTCGGTAGCTGTCCGAGGAGACATTGGTTCTCCGCGAACATTCTTCCATCTGTGGTGTCAGAGAATCGATCCGAGTCGCCTATGTCATCGAAGTCGAGGCTTAACAGCAAAGCCACACGGTAATCCGGAAACGGCTAACTCGGAGTTAGCTGGGTTTCCTTCTTGTCTGTTCATAAATATGTAACTGGGTAAAAATGGCGATGATCGGGTCTGGTACTTTCTGTTGTGTTTTCTGGCGGTGGCCGTGGTGTCGCGTTAGTCCCCGTGCTTCAGTCGGGTTGTCCTGGTTCTATGTGGCGTTCTGCTCCTTTGGCCAGGGAGCCCAGCGTGTGTCATGTCTCACATTCACCGGAACCCCAGTAGGGGCCCCAGAGGCCTGTCTTACCGTACAAATGCTAAACTTGGCTAAAGCCAAGAGCTGGTAGCGTCGAGGAGTCCCTGCTGGACCCACAGACACATGTGCAGACATAAATGTCTGTGACTGGACCTGTCTGCTGCTCGTCACGTGGGTTAAAGGTATGGAGTGATTGAAGGGGGTGACCGGGTTCGTGTGTGTGTACGTGCGGCCTTGTAGACGGTCATGGAGGACAGTCATCGCGAGAACACATGAATCTGACGCGTTTGCAGCGGATCCGGTTTAGAGCTCAAGCTGCATGAAGCACTTAAGAAGATTTAGTCTGGTTCGGCTCCTTTGGGCCCGGCTGGGCCTGTGGTGGGTCACCTCCTGGTAAACCATCAGGTGGTTCCGGTGGTTGTTCGGGTCAGAGAGGGAACATCGAGTCCTGCTGACGGCTACAGATAAGCTCGCTGTAATTGCTGACTGGTCCTTCTGCGCTAGTCCAAGTTGACATGGGTCGGGTCAGAGTATCAGGACTATTGATGTGACAGTTCCAGCGTGTGTGTGTGTGTGTGTGTGTGTGTGTGTGTGTGTGTGTGTGTGTGTGTGTGTGTGTGTGTGTGTGTGTGTGTGTGTGTGTGTGTGTGTGTGTGTGTGTGTGTGCGTGTGTGTGCGTGCGTGTGCGTGTGTGTTCGTTCGTTATCAGAGGAAGAGGTCTTGCTGGTTCGTGCTTCATGTTGAGCAGATGAATCTGGACTACAGGAGCCTCTGAGGGTCAGCTTGAGAGCCCGTTTTTGGAGTGTGACTGGGTCAACATGAAGGTCCTAGACTGGCCTAAACTCTGGATGCTCTGTTATCAAAGCTGACATCAGCTGACTGTTCACAGCTGATATGGCTTTTGCTCAGGCCACGCCCACTTCCCCACAGCTGATAGCTGCTGCTCAGGCCACGCCCACTTCCCCACAGCTGAAAGGAGCTGCTGAAGCCACTTCCGCCTCCACCCTTGTTGTTTTTCAGACAGAAGTCAGTCCTGTGGGTTTCAGCTCATTAACGGGCTTCTGCACAACTTTGGACCTGCTGAGCTAATCTGGACCTGGCTGTGCTGGACACCAGACTGTCCAGGTGTGTACAGGTGCGTGTGGTTTACCGGTATGACTGGTTTAATCCAGTAGATGGTGGGGAGCCACTGAGCACAATGCAGCAGCGTGCACAAACAGCTGAGTCAGCTGGTGATGCTGAGGTGAGTTGTGCCCTTTGTTTAGGTCGACAGAGTTTGGACCCATCCTGGCTGCTGTTTGACCTGGAGGACAAAGCTTCAGGTGTGCTCATGTTCAGGCTGAAGAGGCTGGCCTGGCTCTGTTAGAGGGGTTAAATGAGTCAGAACATGCTGATGCGTGCTGTCATCACCAGCAGAATAGACTACTGTAATACCCTGCTTTCTGGTTTTCCCAGAAGAAACAACTCAGGTTTACGACTTCTGATGAGGACCAGGAGGTGGGAGCACATCGCACCAGTCATTGGCTCCCCGTATGTTTCAGGAATGATTTTAAGGTTCTCTTAATGGTGTTTAAGAGTCTTTATGGCCTTTGGCCCTCTTATCTGTCAGACCTGCTTTTACCATATGAACCCTTGTGGCCTCTGGCAGCCACCTCCTGGTTATGCCTAAAGTCAGGACACACACTCACGGCGAGGCAGCCTTTCAGTTTTATGACCCTCACCTCTGGATCAGGCTGCTGGAGAACCTCAGGGCCGTAGAGAACGTCCATGTTTGTACGAGCGGGCTAAAGATCCACCGTTTTAGCTTAGCTTTTAACTGGTTATTTATTCTGGTAGATTACACCGTATTATTTAATTACATTTTAGAACTGTTAATTCTACATCTGTATTTTAATGTTTATGACATTTGAATAAATGATGTATTTACTTACACTGACTATTATATTAGCTCCTGTTATTTTATATTTCCTCTTACATTAATCTTTCTTCCAGCGTTTCTTCGGGGAGTGGGGGTGTTATAGCGTGGGAGGGGGCAGCAGTGGGGGTTATGTAGGGTCATTTTAATCTGTAAAGCACTTTAAGTTGAACCTTTTGTAGGAAAAGCATTTTATAAATAAAGTTTGATTGATCAGGATGGCACCGCTGGAGACTGCAGCAGTGGGCGGGCCGAACCAGTGCCAGCAGGCCCTAGATCAGCTGGAGAAGGCCATCAGTGGTGTGCTGAGGGCCGAGCAGCAGCTGAGACAGAACGCCCGTGAGGTAAGAACCTTCATCAGTACTCCTCTAGTTTGGTGTTGTTGCACCAGGAACTGCTGCTGTCTCGTTTCCAAGGCAACAGTTGGTAAAGATCTGGTTCTATTTAAAGAGCAGGAACCCCCCCCCCCCCCCCCCCCCCCCCCCGCCCACAGCAGGTTACCGGTGTTGGAGCTAAAGCTGTGTCTATGAACCAAGGTGGGACGTGCATGTCGTCTGCCAACTAGATTTCAACTTGTGTGTGTGTGTGTGTGTGTGTGGTCCATTTCCTGGTTATGCAATACTGACGTCGGTAAAGTATTGAAATGGTCCCGACCTGATGTGAAGGGGGGCTTTGAGGCTTTTGGCAGCTCCCTGTCCCGAGACGATGTCGTTCGTATGACTAAACTGAAGCCCCACGCTGTGATGGGTCTCTCGTGTCTTCTTGAACCCATGAAAAAGTCCCGGTCACTGGGGTTTGTGTTGAAACCCAACGTCGAGATGCAGCTGGAGGTCCGGCGACCGCGCTGACATCATCCACCCGCTCCGACTAACAAAAAACCACCTGCTGCAGGTGTGTGTGACTGCATGTTTGTGCACAGAGAGGAGGCGGGTTGAGTCATTGTGTGTGTGTGTGTGGTGGGGGGGGGCCTGAGGGACAGTATAATACGGGTGGGGAGAGAGAGCGGGTGGGAGAGTGCTGCTGGACTCCTGGAGCTGTCGTGTCCACACAGGTACATCTTAGGTGGGTTGGTCGGCTCTTCTGGTCCAGGTTCCATCTGCTCTGGTTCTACAGGTGGTTCTGGTTTGGATCAGCAGTGTCTGAACTTGCTCCTCCGGCTTCAGAACCTCCTCAGTTTCTGCCAGGGATCAGAACCTGAAGCTGTACCACCGGGTACCTGCTCGGGTTAGGGTTCCGTCTCACCTGTGGCTCTGCCTTCAGGTACGTTTGGAGCTCCAGAGCTGCGTGAGCCGGCAGCAGGAGGCCCTGCGATCCAGGGAGGTGTGGCTTCTGGGTCAGATCGACCTGCTGGAACAAGTGAAGACGGAGACGCTGCAGCAGCAGCTGCACCAGCTCCACCGGGTGAGTGGACCGCTCTAGACTGGGACCAGTGGGTCTACGGCCTTTAGACTGGGCTCACACTGGTTTGTGTTTTACAGCTCAGAGGTCAGTTTGACATCATCACACACCAGAGTTCCAACAGCAGCAACGACTTGAACAACCAGCTGACTGCCTGCATGGAGAAGTAAACACACACACACGCACACACACACACACACGCACACTGACCTGACTGTGTTTGTTTAGGTGTGTGAGAGCAGGCAGCAGGTCCATACCTGTATGAACACCTGTTCCTACTCACCTGTTGTAACAGAAGCTATAACAGGTGCGTTTGTTTTCTTTACTGTGTGTCCAGGTTGTCGTCTTTGAGTCTCACACCTGAGGAAACACCTGAGATGAGTTTCCATGCTGATACACGCTCTCTAAGGCAGGCCATCACCTCATTCGGCAGCATCACTGCTCAGGTAACTCTCACCTGTCTACCACAGGAACCTGGCGGTCTGCGTGCTGTTCTGACCCGGTTCTTTTCTGCTGTTGGCAGTTGGTGGAGGAGGTGTCCTGTCAGAGCAGCCCTCCTAAGGTTGCGGCGGTGCAGAGCTGTGCCTTCACAGACCAACAGGTGAGTCTCGCCCTGACCTCCTGACCTTTCACCGGGTCTGCAGAACTTCCTTTAAATGTTCTTCTTTGTTCAGAAGCCAGAAGCAGCCGTTCTGGGTCAGTGGCTGCTGGGTAACAGTCCAGCTAACAGCCCTGGGATTGGCTACCAGTCTAGCAAGAATCCTCAGGACTGGCTGCTGGCCAGAGAGAGCAAGGTGAGAAACCCCACAGGTGAAGGTAAGTTCTTCGGAGCTTCTGCTGGGCCTGACTTCTCACTTTGTTTACGGCAGACTTCCTGTCCCGTCCTGGCCTCTGTGGACTTCCTGCAGGCCTGGGGTCAGCTCAAAGACCTGGAGGCGTGGCTTCTTCGGGACCAGAACCAGGTCAGCAGGGAGCGATCCTGCAGCAGCTGCAGCTCCACCTTCTCCATCGAGAAGATCGACGAGTCTGAGTTCACTGATTGTTCCGCTGATGAAGAGGAAGTGGAGTTGACCGACTGGCTTGTGACCCCATCCACTGTTGCCATGGAGACTGACGCCGAACGGTGGCGCAGCGTGCTGAAGCCCTTTGAGGAGACTTGGCTGTCCAGTGAATGGCTGGTGGAGGCTAGCCACGCCCCCACCGACTGCTCCTCCTGTTGTCAGACCACCAAGGCCATGGAGATCGAGAACCTGGGCAATCTCAAGTGCCTGAAGACCCCGCCCCCACTCAGCCCCACCTTCCCAACCCCGGTGGACCCCTTGGAGTCATGGCTCCAGCAGGTGGCGCCGCTGCAGCAGACGTGCAAGGCCAACGAGCCGTGCTCCACCTATGCCAGCTGCGTCTGTGAGGAGAACTGTGGCAAAGAGGCACTGAGCCGCTGGCTTCTGCAGCAGGAGGGGCGGGACAAGAATGGCGTCTCCGTCACTAAGAAGGCTCCGCCCACTCCGTTTCACAGAGAGCAGGAGCAGAAGGTAAGAGTTGGCCATGAAAGTTTTGATTTAGCTGATTAATGGAGAAAGTAAAGGTCACCTGTCTGCAGGTGCAGGCCATCCTGGAGGCCTGGCTCCACCCCAGCACCTCCTCCTGCAGAGCCTCCCCTCCAACGGGTGGGGCGAGATCTGAGGAGAACCTCAAAAAGAAGGCCCTCAGCTCTCTGTCCCCATTCCAGCATTCTCTGGTCCCAGACCACTGGGTCATGCCTGGCTCAGGAGGTTCTGCCCATCCTGAGGAGAAGGATGACAAGTGGCTCCTGAAGAAGAGGAGTCAGACCCAGGTAGACGGAGCCCCGCCCACAGCTCTTTAATGTGTGAGTGCACCTGCTGAGTTCTGCTTGTTTACTTCCTGTTCAGGAGCGTTTGGTTCTGCCTGCTGTCTGTGAGCTGTTCTCCTGTATGAAGGTGGGCGGAGACAAAGACAAATGGCTACACAAAGCTGCCGTCCAGGTGAGTTACCTGCAGCACTCCTACACACACATACACACACAAGCTGATTCTTGTTTTTTTTCTTTCCAGATGTAACCATGACGACTACAGAGAACGTTGCTTCTTCTCTTCTGCACACTTTATAGCTGATCGCACATAACCACTGCCGCCTTCCTGACATCACCCAGAGGCTCCGCCCACCATTCCTGTTCCTTATTCAGAACTGGACTCTTCTCATTGTGGGTGGAGTCAGTCACAAGGTGGAGCTTTAGAAAATGGGTGGGGTTAGTTTTAACATTGTTTGAATGGATCTTCCTGAATAAAGGAGTTAACTTGTTCTGATCTGACTAGTCTTCTTCCACCTGATGACATCACACAGGTGTACTACACCTGTCCTATGTTGTTAGCCAGGAGCCGATCGCTGAGTGGGCAGCCTGCCGTTTGGTCACATGACTGAGTGGCCAGTGCTAATTGGTGCTTTGTACTGACGTGGGCTTGATTCTGCTGTTAAAAATAAATTGACCTGAAATGACTTCCTGTGTGACATCATCTCGTTTCTTCACTTGATGGACACCTGTCTGCAGGTATTTGGGTTAGTTCAGCTCAGTAGTGTCTGGTACAGGGACCAGTAGACCCAGTTTGGGTTGGGTCAGCTCTGGACAGTTTAAGGCCAGGCTTCATCAGGTCCAGAACCTCGGGCTGGGTGAGCAGCAGAACTTGGGCCCAAAAGCTAATCAAAAGTCCTTCAAAATTATCTCAAGTAGAGCTGTTAGTTCAGCCAAGGAGCCGAACCTGAGGTACTGATCCGTCACACAGTTAAGGAGATGTTTACACCCTGAGTTCATTGGAACTTTTATCAGTAAAGCCAAAATGAAGCAAGAGGTCACGCCCACCAACTGGACCCTGCTGATAGCGGGGTGATGACATCACTAAGATGGGGTGTCCAGGGGGAGCATCAGATGGTTATGAGCATTTAAACAGCTGATCTCAGAAGAGTGTGGCCCGTAGGGGCGGTACCGGACGTATCCAGCCTCTCAGACGGGTGGCAAAGTTCTGCTGGGAATCTTAACTAAATGAGACTGAAAGAACCAGAGCAGGAACTCCTTAAGAACTTCCAACGTACACAGCATGCCCCAGCTTCTCCCTCCTCCCTGTAGGAATCTCAGCTGATCATTTCTCCATTTGAGTTAATCCTCTTATATTTATGGTTCCAGGGTCTTTAGGCAAAACCACAGAATTCCCACTGGAATGCTAACTGTACTGATCACATGACCTGCTCCCAACAGATCAGGTGATCTTATTGACTGGGTATCAGCTGATCAGGCTGTCAGCCCCGTAAAACCAGGGAAAGGTTCCAACCATCCAGAGGAGAGCTCCTCCTGGTGGTTGTTCACTCTCACAATTCCAGGAGACCTGGCCGGGGTCACATGACCCCGAGCTCTGCTCCAACTCTTCACAACTCTGAGGTTCTGCTGGGGCGCAGCAGGAAGGTGCTGGGAGCCTCCAGGAGAACTGGTAGACCATCAAAGCTGAGAGGACGATGGGGTCCACCAGGGAAGGAGCTGCAGCTGCATGCATGAAGAACTCGCACAAACTGAGTTTCTACCAGTGTTTTATTTTCATAAAATGTGCTTTAATTGATCTTCAGTTCAAGTGTCTATGAAGCTTTAACCCTAAACAGTGATTTGAGGCTGGCTGTCCATCAGCGGACCACCAATCTTTTCTGGTTCTGCAGGAATTTTAACCCTTACCTCACATTAGAGCATTTTTTTGTGCTGACACGTGTATTTTTGTGAATAACTTTGGCTATGTTAATGCAATTTATCTAATTTTTATGGAGGATGTGTATTTTGGAAGGAATTACAAAAAAAAGTTTGAAAAAATATTCAACCTACTTTATTAAAACGTGGAAATCATTTTGTACAGTTAAGCACATTGAAGCATTTTTTTGTGCCATTGACTTTCATGTAAATCATATATTTTTAATTAGCATAAATATTGGCATAATTTTAAAAAATTATGATTGTGCCCGTGTTTACAGTCTCATCACAAATGTAAGAAGCAGTTTTTACTGTTTTTCACTACATGGCATACTTTCTCCATATATAGCAGGGCAATGGCTGACCCAGCATTTAAACTGAATGATTTAGCTGTATTTCTTTACCTCTGACTGCCCATTATAATACATATTTTGCAAAAAAATGGTTTGTGTGTTATTTAGAGATGCCATACAATAGTTTGCATGTGTGTGTTCTGAATTTTTGGTAATTGTGCTTTTTCAGTGTTCTTTCAAAAAATAAGCCTGACTGAATGTACAAAATTAGCTTATTCTGCAAAATAGCATTTTGACATGTGTTCCTTTGTGTGTGATTGTTCAGGCATGCGTGTATGTAGGTATCAAAGCACTTTACAGATCTTCAAAGGACAGATCTGTGATCATTATCTGGAGTGGTTGAGCAGGTGTGGGCCATGGGAGTGTAGGGGGGGGGGGGCACAGGTTCTCACACTCTGTTGACTTCATGAATATTCATCAAAGGCATGCTATATATCAAAAATCAAAGGATTTTCTGCTAAATTTCAGATACTCATTCACAATTTTACTTTTGCAAAATGTTATTTCAATAAGTACAAAGCATTTGCATGGATGAAAGCTAAGATGAAGGCTGAAAAACTTCAAAGGCATACATTTGTTTTTCAAAACAAATTCCTGCAGAATCGAATTTTGTTTACATTCAGTAGGGGCAGCTTACACAGGTGCACCAATTGACTAAAAGTACATATATGAGACTCAGATCAGGATTCATTTCTTTGAACCGCAACCATGAGAAGAAGATTCAATGTGAATGAAGCCCTGGAGGTGTTTCAGCAGCTTGAGGAAGAGGGAGAGTCAGCCTCATCCTCATCCACGGATGACAGCTGCATGTTCTTCGGATGAAGAGGCTGAAGATCAGGCCTTTACCCCAGGGCCTGATTCAGGGGAAGAAATGGAAGAAGGTTCAGATGAGGAGGTGGTTGCTGCAGAGGAGAGATGGGACCATCCTTTGTGGCAATCAAAGAGCGGGATCGCCTGGTCCCCGACACCCGACACCAGGATCCCCTTTCGGGCTCCAGACGTCCGCCATTGTGGGATCACCCGCCTCGCTGTCAGCTACATCCAAACTATTGAGGACAGCTTCGATTTTTTTTTAACTACAACAATCCTAGATGTAATAATAAAATACACCAATATAGAGGGAAGAAGAAAATATGACGATTGGACAGACGTTGACCGCGTGGAACTCCGGGCATTGTTTGGGTTGCTCATCCTCGCTGGTGTGCACCGTTCCCGTGGGGAATCATCTGCCAGCCTCTGGGGGGAGGAAACGGGGAGGCCGATATTCAGAGCCACGATGAGTTTGGGAAGGTTCCACATGCTGACTGCAACATTGCGCTTTGATGACCGCTTGACCAGGGCAGCCCGCCGGTTGGTGCAGCAGGGCAAGCTCGCTCCCCTGCGGGAAGTGTGGGACCTCTGGGCGGCCCGGCTCCCTCTCGCCTACAACCCCGGTGAAGATGTCTGCGTTGATGAACAGCTCGTCGGATTCAGAGGTCGCTGCAACTTCAAGCAGTACATGCCCTCAAAACCGGCAAAATATGGCATCAAGCTGTGGGTGGTGTGCGATGTGGCCACTTCTTATGCCTGGGGGATTATTCCCTATCTGGGCAAGACGACTCGAGACGCCCCGGCAGAAAGGGGGCAAGGGAAGCGGGTGGTGCTGGAACTCACGGAGGGTCTGAGCGGCCGCACTGTCACCACGGACAATTTTTTCACCTCGCTGGTTCTTGGAGAGGAGCTGCTAAAAAAAAAAATCTGTCTTGTGGGAACAGTTAGGCGCAACAAGCCAGAGTTGCCCCCACAGCTGCTCCAGATGAAAAGCAGAGCGGTTCTGTCCTCCCTGTTCGGCTTCACCTCCACCGCCACCGCGGTGAGCTACTCCAAAGCGCCGGCGGAACGTTCTGCTCCTCGGCACCAAACCCCATCAGGTTCAGATCCAGGAGGGACCGCAGCAGAAGCCGACCGTAATCATCGATTACAACCGCTGCAAAGGGGCAGTTGACAACTTGGACAAGGTAATTTATTTATTTTATTTTGTTTTATTATAATTCACCAACCTAATTGCATATGTAATTTATTTATTCATTTATTTTTATTCCAGCTCGTTGCAACATACAGCTGCCGCCGCAAGACCAGACGTTGGCCCATGTCGCTCTTCTGCAACATGTTAGATGTGAGCGCCTACAATGCCCTGGTCCTGTGGCTGTCTGTGGAACCGGCCTGGAACCAACAGAAGAGGAGCATCCGTCGAAGGCTGTTCTTGCAGGAGCTTGGGACCTCCATGGTGAGACCAGCCCAGGCGAGGCGCACTCGCTTGCCGCGGTCCAGCAGCGCTGCAGCTCTGTTGGAGGTGCAGCAGCAAGTGGAGCCAGGTCCAGCCCAGGAGCAGACAAAGAAAAGATGCCACCTTTGCAGAGGGAAGAGGAGCGTGCATGCACGCTTTTGCCATGCATGTGGACAGGCTGTGTGCAAGGAGCACTCAACAGTTGTGTGCTCAGCCTGCAGCTGTTAGCTCACTCCCCTCTGTGTTTCTCTCTCTTTCTCTCTCTCTCTCTCTCTCTCTCACACACACACACACACACACACACACACACACACACACACACACACACACACACACACACACACACACACTTTTTCTTTGTTCGTGTGCTTTAATAAAGTGTTCAACTGGTCATCTTTGTAAGTGCATTTTTTTGTGCTCTAATGACTTTAACGTGAGTATTTTAGAAAATATGACATTACACAAAAACTACAAAGTGAGCAAAAAATATTTTTATGCCTATTTGTGACACTCCAAGGCTGTGACAACTTACCCACAAAAAAGGTCATCTGGACATAACACACAAAAAATGAGTTGATTTTTTCATTTTTTGTACAGTTTTCAAACTTCGGGTTTTGCTAATAAACCTAGCAATAAAGGGGTTAAATCTGAGAAACACACACATATTTTATTATATTTTGTTAGGGCTGAAGCCAAGGATGAAATTCATGTAAAAAAATTGGGACTTATGAAATATTATATAATATTTCTATGGGAAGCTTTCTAAGTGCATTTTTTTGTGCTCTAATGACTTTAACGTGAGTATTTTAGAAAATATGACATTACACAAAAACTACAAAGTGAACAAAAAATATTTTTATGCCTATTTGTGACACTCCAAGGCTGTGACAACTTACCCACAAAAAAGGTAATCTGGACATAACACACAAAAAATGATTTGATTTTTTCATTTTTTGTACAGTTTTCAAACTTTGGGTTTTGCTAATAAACCTGGCAATGAAGGGGTTAAATCTGAGAAACACACACATATTTTATTATATTTTGTTAGGGCTGAAGCCAAGGATGAAATTCATGTAAAAAAATTGGGACTTATGAAATATTATATAATATTTCTATGGGAAGCTTTCTAAGTGCATTTTTTTGTGCTCTAATGACTTTAACGTGAGTATTTTAGAAAATGTGACATTACACAAAAACTACAAAGTGAGCAAAAAATATTTTTATGCCTATTTGTGACACTCCAAGGCTGTGACAACTTACCCACAAAAAAGGTAATCTGGACATAACACACAAAAAATGATTTGATTTTTTCATTTTTTGTACAGTTTTCAAACTTTGGGTTTTGCTAATAAACCTGGCAATGAAGGGGTTAAATCTGAGAAACACACATATATTTTATTATATTTTGTTAGGGCTGAAGCCAAGGATGAAATTCATGTAAAAAAATTGGGACTTATGAAATATTATATAATATTTCTATGGGAAGCTTTCTAAGTGCATTTTTTTGTGCTCTAATGACTTTAACGTGAGTATTTTAGAAAATGTGACATTACACAAAAACTACAAAGTGAGCAAAAATATTTTTATGCCTATTTGTGACACTCCAAGGCTGTGACAACTTACCCACAAAAAAGTTAATCTGGACATAACACACAAAAAATGATTTGATTTTTTCATTTTTTGTACAGTTTTCAAACTTCGGGTTTTGCTAATAAACCTGGCAATGAAGGGGTTAAATCTGAGAAACACACACATATTTTATTATATTTTGTTAGGGCTGAAGCCAAGGATGAAATTCATGTAAAAAAATTGGGACTTATGAAATATTATATAATATTTCTAAAGGAAGCTTTCTAAGTGCATTTTTTTGTGCTCTAATGACTTTAACGTTAGAAAATTTAAACGTTGGGTAAGGGTTAATGACTGCTGAAGTTTTTCTATCACCCGTGAGCTGCCTGCTACAGATCAGGTCATGAGTCACTGCCACAGCATCAGTGGTGGCCCTTCTAGGTCCAGAGTGAACTTCACTCGGGATCTCGTGATCAGATTGTTTCAACTAAACTGATAAGATTCAAAGAGCTCAGCCAGAAGGTGAGCAGCCGAGACAAGGACGACCTCCTTTATGAGGGAAGAATGCAGCTCTGCTTTAACTTTACCAAGGATCAGATTCAGGAGCAATAACTGCATCCATGTGTAGCAGGTGAGGAACCAGGTCATCTGCACCTACAGACTTTAGTGAAGGGGCCAGGTTCTGGACCTACATTAGGGTCTAGGTCCAAGTTCTCCATATAGCTGGTGTCAGAAGTAAAGCCACGAGTTTGGCTGATCTAACCAAGGCTGAGAGCATCTGAGGGGGATCGGGGTTTTCCCCATGGACAACCATGACCCATTAACTGGGGAACTTTGAGGCTTGCCTGGGACCAACTCGGATCCCACCGGTCACCAGGAGTTCTCGTTAGAAAATGACGTCCACCCTTGAGCAGAAACCATTCCAGTGACACCAGTATAATAATCATCAGACTTATATAGCGCTTGTTTAGGACACGCAAAGACGCTTCCATGCAGTGATGGTTAGCTACCGTGTAGAGGCGAGGCTGCCATTTGGCGCCGTCGGCCCCTCTGGCCACCACCAACACAGGCAAATTGGGTCAAGTGTCTTGCCCAAGGACACAACAGCAGAATACCCCTGGTGGGAGCTGGAATCGAACCCATGACCCTCCAATCATGAGGCAACCCGCTCTACCACCTGAGCTACTGCTGCCCCAGTGTGGTATAGATCCCATAGGTCAAAGGTGGTTTTGCATTCTAGACAATCGCTCATCTCACAGGAAAAAGGAAATCAGTGTTTGTAAGAAACAGATCAAGTAAAGTGGACTCTAGTCGGATCAACAATGAGCTGAGAAGGTTTAAAAAAAATCGAGTCTAAGGTCCAAGAAGAGCAACCCCTGCTTAACCCTGCCACCTCTAGAGTAGCAAACGAACGGACCTTCAGAAACCAGGCCTGGAGTGGAGCCGAGGGGAAACCCCAAGTCCAGACGACCGCTTCCAGAAGCTGTTGATCCAGACCGGAGGAGTTAGGAACTCAGGTTTGGCTTTTTCACCTGACTGAGACTTAAGAACACATCGGACCACATCAGTGTCTGCAGACACACCTGAAGAACTGGAGGTTTGATCCAAGCACCTGTCAATCAATAGGTCATGAATCAGCTGACCGATGACACTGCTGACGTCCTGTTGCAACAGAAGTCAGGTTGATGGAACCCAACCGCGCCACCTGCTGGCTGGAGCAGAGCCTTTACAGAATCTGTGAACACGCTCCATCGTCGCTTCTCCTGTTTTGGTTGAAAGTGAACAATCAGCTGTTGATCTTTGAATCCAGATGTGATTCCAGTGGCTGAATGTCTGGCACCCTCTGCTGGACACTTTGATGATCAACATGTTGCTTCAACTGAAGGTGACTAAAACTTTCCAATGTTTATTACAAAATGCAACAAAACATGTGGACTGGATTTATTCTATCAGCAAACACAACACGATGACGAACAACCTTCAACCCGTCAGAACCAAAACAAACCCACACCACATGGAGCTAAAGAGGGACAGAACCAGAACATGAAGACAGATCAGCATTAAACTAACTCCAATCACACAGTCCACATTTCTGGTGAACTCAGGACAGCAGGAAACAGAGTGGAGGGGGCGGGGCTTAGGTCTGCTTGTGTTCACAGAAACGGTTTCATTTTGGTGACCGCTCCTCCTCCAGCTTTATTTTACACTAAAATAATTCATTCACAGATGGAGCTGATCCCGGACAGGACCCCTTTAGCTTTTCCTTTGCGATCACAATAAAACCTTTCTGTGACTGGCTGAAGGGGAGTTTGTGTGCACTGGTGTGTCTGAGTCATGAGACCTTGTTGGCCTCTGCAGCGTTACTTGATGAACTGGTGAAGAACTGGTGGTGCCGTCCACTCTGCAACTGAAGGATGAACGAGGCAGCGTCGCCATAGCAACGGAGGATGTCATTTTCACTTTTTACATTTAAATAAGTTATATTTTGACAACATTTTGCTAATTCATAAATAAGTGCATTTTAAACTGCCAACACAACAAAACAGGAAGTGCAGTCTGTCAGAGCAGGGGAGTAACAAAACTACAAACATGGCTGCCTGACTCATCTGTGCTGACTTTCCAGCCTTAAAGTGTCAAAGCATCAACCAATCAGAACTCTGGGAGCTTTTAGCCAATCATATCTCTCAGACAGAACAGGGCAGGACTCTTGAGCAAAAAGAGGTGGGGCTAATGAGTTAACAATGACCAAACTATGGACCAAAACACAGGAAGTGACCAGAAACCAACATAGATTCTTGTGTGACATTAAAGGGTGAGAAAACTGCTGAAGGCTGCACTAACGAATCACAGAAGGTACAGACCGTCGGCTCCATTTCTTTATGATGGGATATCATTTATTGGTCATTGACTAGTACCAATCATCTGCTGACAGTAATGAGTCAATCAAGCTGACTGGGAGGGACTCCATTACCCATAATGCTCTGCAAGCTGAGGCGTAAAAGAGCAAAAACAATTCAGCTTCAGTTTGGTCAGGTGTGCGGGCTATGGGAAGGGGGAGGGGCCTGAACTTTAAATTTAATCCCATTTGAAGAGCAAGAAGCTAGCAATCACTTCGGACCACATAAGGTCCCCCCCCCGCCGAATATTATTAACCTTAGAAGGACATCCTGCAGTTATCTACACACAAGAATTAACCAGTTCCTGAAACCTGGATAAGCAGAACCTCCAACAGGTCCAGAACGTTTCTCAGTTTCAACAGAGCTGGTCCCAAACTAGTCCAGAACCAGTAAGAGTTGGTTCAGAACCAACTAGGACCAGCCAACACCAGTCCATAGTTGAGTGGCATTACTCGGAGTCGGACTCCAGCGGAGCGGTCTCATCCACAATGGGTCTGTTCTGGAGCTTGGTGGCGGTGTGGGCCCGCTGCTCACTCTCCAGGTGAGCCTTCTTGTGGCGCGAGAAGCTGGATGAGTGCATGAAGGTCTTGTTGCACGCCATACACATGTAGGTCTTGGTCTTGGAACCGGGAAGACCCGTCTTGGTGTGGAGCTGCCTCCCGCAGCCACTGCTGTCCGCCGCAAGGTGGATCTGCTGGTGCCGAGCCAGGCTGGAGGCATAGCTGAATCGCTTCCCACACTGGCTGCAGCCATGGCGCCCGGCTCCAACGTCTCCTTCAGCGCCGTCCTCAGAGGAGGTGGGGCCTCGTTTGCCGGGTCGGCCTCTGCGACGGCGGTTCTTCTTGCACAGGGTGTAGAAGTTGGGTTTGTCACGGGAGCAGAGCTTCAGACGGATCTTGAGGTCGGAGGAGCTCTCGCTCAGATTCTCCTTGCCAGGCGTGTAGCTGTCCAGCAGTTCCTTGACGTGGGTCACCTGATGTTTGGACAGCAGCGTAGAGGTCCTGAAGCTCATGTCACACTGTGGGCAGGCATAGAACTTGTCAGAACCCTGGGTCTGGATGATGGCAGTGGCCACATGCTGCTGCTGCTGCTGGTGCTGCCGCCGCCTTTTGGTCCCCTTGTTCTTGGTGCCAACCTTCAGTGGGCGGTGCAGGGTGGTCATGCTGGTGCCGAGGGCAGAGTCCTTGAGGAGACCCTTTCCCTTTTTGTGGATGAGGCGGTGGCGAGAGAGGCTGGAGCTATGGTTGAACTCCTTACCACAGATGTTGCAGGGGTGGATGCGTCGCTTCCCGTGCAGCCTCAGGTGGCTCCCCAGCATTCTGCAGGTAAACAAGCACACAATACACATGAGGATGCTTTGGCTTAGGCAGAGCAGCAGCATCACAGAGCCCCACCTACCCAGCCCCACCCCAGCAGACTATCTACTCCCATCCCCGCATTTGATCAACTTCCAGACTACGTAGGACATAGACACCGAGGTAAAGTTTGGTCCTCCCCTCCCCGTGATGGAACAGGAGTGTTCATGCCAGTTTAGGAGGAACCAAGGTCCTCCCGAGGCCCCCCCGAGCCAGGACCAGGTACCGCCGCATGCTCCTGCCCCTCTACTGGCAAGCCAGGACCCAATCCCCCAGGCCCAGCCCAGATTCCAATCTGGGGACGACCACCCCCCACACCCTTAGCCACCATACCCTCACCCACCCTGGGCAATGCAGCCATCGTCAAGAACTCCCAAGCTCCAAAACACGGCTGCCAGAAGTCCACCCACCGAGACCTCCCAACCACCACTAGTGGGGCAGCAGCCCCCAAGCCCCAGACCCGCCCAGAGAACCCACCCTCCAGGACCCTCCACCACATCAACCACAGAATCGTGTAGGACAATAACAACGACCCTTCATCATCGCTATGTGATGGAACCGATCAAAGGAGCTCTGAGAGATTTGAAGTGGAGGCAGAAGCGGTCTCAGGTGTAATTTGGTTAATGCAAAGATTATTTATCTTGTATATGAGGATAGTTTTCTTGATGATGCTTACGGCAGTCAGAACCACGTGAACCAAATTGGTTTCAATTGGGACATCGTCCAGGTTTCCCAGCAAGCAAAATGAGGGGGAAGTTGAGATGGCTGCTCCATTTTCATAACTTATGTAAATCACACACATTCTATAAACTATTGATAAAAGGCATGATTACATTCTATAAAAGGTGTTCAACCCCTGAAATATCTCTTGTTCCTTCTCAGAGATTTTGCTTAGGAAAAATTCACTCAACTACTGGTCTGCAACGTTGATGGTTTACCTCCACAAATAACACAAGCCTGGAGGAGTTCTGCTGTGTGGTGGAGTTGCTAATGCTAACGGATAACTTCTACTAGACGTTCTCTGCTGTTTTCTGGACACTAAATCAACAACAGCCTTCCACGTCATGAGTCCAGATGGGTGAGTCCATGAATGTTAAATGACTGTGACGTAGATCTGTCAGGATTTTCTAATCCTGGAGTTTCACCGTCGGTTTTCTATCAGAAGCTAATGCAGGAAATAGGTGTAGGAGACCCTTTTCATGTTCAGCCTGCATGAAACACTCAGAGTGACTGACTGTCAGAAACAGTAATTAAAATGGTTTTTCAGTGAACCACACCTTTAATTATATTTGCCTAAAAGCCTTTTTAGAGTTTCTGTAAAAAGACTAAAAGGTTAAAACAGGGTATCTGCAGGTTTAAGGGAGCCAAATTTAAGACTTTTTAAGACCTTTTTTAAGGCCACTTGGACCAAATTGAAGCTGTTTTTTTTTTTATTTGAGCTATAATTTCCAGCTATTGCCTGGAACCGGTGCTAACCACATCGTGAATGTGGGATTAGCCATCCGGTTACCATTAATGTTGCACTTCCCCATGGCGCAAACTCCCACTAGCTTAACATGCTCATCTAAAAATAGCCCCCTTTCACAACCAACCCAACGTGTACGGTTCCGCTTACGCCAATACCATACACAAAAAATGCTGAACACTAACTAGAAATTCATGGAAATTTTATAGAAACAAAATAATCTTGTTTATTGGGTCTTTGGTAATTTAAGACTTTTGGAAACTATTTAATGATTATTTGTAATTTTTAAGGATTTTTAAGGCCTTAAATTTGGAAAAGCAAATTTAAGACTTTTTAAGACTTTTTAAGGACCTGCAGATACCCTGGCGCTGAAGGATGGAGACTCCTTAAAGAGTTAAGATGCTGAGGTTCTTCTAGTGCAGTTGTTATTATGAATATTACTGATTACTTGCATGTAATTTCTACTTCATATCTTTTCTATGTATTCAGTAAGAATAGTATTTGGACAAGGATTGATTATATTATTGCTATGTAGTAGGCTTGGGCGGTATCCAAACTTTAATACCGTCTAGCTTCCTCCACAGTTTACCACGGTGTACGGTATTACCGGGACTAATTTCAAAATGATGACGTAAGCCTCAGGTGGCATTACCAGGCTGTTAGTTTGGACCTTCACCATACAGAAACCGAATAACAAACATGATAACTATAACAACACATAATATTAACAAAAATGCAGCTTATAAAAAGATGAAAAACCAGCATGTTTATCTTTTGTGGCTTTAAACCTCCGACTGCTCTGCTGAAAACCCGCTTCGACGAGCCTGTGACACGGTATACAGGTACTTTGGTGCTAGTCGCAACATCTGGGGAAGACTGGCTGCTTATTTTGCACCAGAAACTTGTGTTGACATCTTTTAATAACTGGCTCCAGACAGAAAGCTGCCATTTCAGCTACGGCTTGCTCCTCTGCGGTTCAGTCGGAGCGTGGGTCTTCCACTGTCATCTTCTGTTAGCACTAATGACCTCATCAGTGTTCACCGGTGTGGTATCAGGGCACCATACCAGTCAGAGGAGCATACCAGCAGAAAATGTGCATGTGCTTATCTGCTGATGTGGTGTCACTGGGGTTAGGGTAAGAGTTAGGGTGCAGGGTAGGATTACAACTACATCAGTCTGACATACCTGGCCCCGTCAGACTGGTATGCTCTGTAATATGGGTATGCCAATCTGACATGGTATGGTGCTTCGACAGAACACCAGAACAACTCCTTAGCTGGTGCACGAACGGCCATGTTTCTCTAGGCGTGTCGTCCTCCGCGCTGTCATGTGATGACATCATGTTCATTAACTTTATGGAGAGTCTCCAAAAGTTGGACAAAACATTTGAAACTACTTCAGTAAAATTGAAAATTCAACCACGTTCTTTTACACCGAATGACTTGTATTTATCTTTTGCTTTTATTTTTTAATCCTCGTCTCCTACCTGCACGGATTTTTGCATGACGGTACTGGAACTATGGATGTCCCGATACAACTTTCTGACTTCCGATACAATACCGATATTGTAGCCTTCAGTATTGACCAATACCAATATCAGCACAAACCATACATACTTGTACCTGTTTCGTAGTGTGGAACGTATGACAGGCTTGATCATGGATATTACTCAATCAGAGAACAAGAGCCAATAACAGTAAGTATGAAAAAAATGACAATTTTTTTTAACCAGTTGTTACAAAAATGTGAACCTTAACGGACCACTTATATCAGAGATTTTGACGCCGTCCGATATAATTCGCCTGTTTTTGTGCCGATAGAGTTACTTCCGATATCGATATCCGAAAGGGTCACCCCTAATTGGAACTGACACCAGCTGTAAACGGTAATACCGTAATACCGCCCAAGCCTACTATGCAGAACAGGAATTACAGAGAGGTGTTGTTGATCAAATATTAAAATGGTTTTGCCATACAGGCTTGTTGTAGACAGAAACAGGAGACCGTAAAACACCACAACATGAACTGTTGTTCACTGGAATGTTCTAATATTACCATTAAATCCGTTCAGTCACTAACGTAATCTGACTCAGGTGAAGCTAATCTGTCTGCGTGATGAGATGATAAATTGGGAGTGACGCAACTTTTTTTCTGCTGGTGTTCTGACTATCCATGCTTCCTCGTCGAATATTCCCCCGGTAGCATGTTACGACAGTTTCGCTCTTGTTTACGGTAGAGTAACACGCCAATAAGCACGGTTTATTTTAAATAGGTGATATTACTCAAAAATACAGAGCTGTTGTACAATTATTAGCAAAAATATACAGTGTTTATGGCAATTTATTTATGAAAAATACCATGTTTGTCATGATTCAGTGAATGATGTTAAATCCATCCATTTTCTATACAAGCTTATCCTCGCAGGGTCCTGGGAGGCTGGTGCCTATCTTCAGCCGTTTCCAGACATCCAGGCGGGGTACACCCTGGACTGGTTACCAGTCCATCGCAGGGCATGTGTTTGGACTGTGGGAGGAAGCCGCAGCACCCGGAGAGAACCCACGCGTTCACAGGGAGAACATGGAAACTCCATGCAGAAAGACACCAGGCTGGGATGTGAACCCAGGACCTTCTTGCTGCACGGCAGCAGCGCTAACCACTGCTCCACTGTGCAGCCAATGACGGTAAACAATGGGAGAAATGTATTGTTTACAGTATGATAACGATATTTTACAAGCCATTTACAAGCTAACTGTCAGGTAAACATACGAAAAGAAAGAAAAAGAAAGAAAAGCAATAAAGTGATCAAGATAAAAATCATGAGGCTCTTCACAAACACAAAACTAAATGTTAAAGTATTAAAAATATTTCAAAAACTGATTAAAAATGTTTAAAATTAGAGAAAAAAAATTGTGGTTAAAAAAAACGTAAGGAAAGGGAGAGGGAAATCAGAGGATCCTGGGAAAGGCAGAATCAGAGCAGAACCAGGGGAGGGTGGTGATGAAGGTCCCACCAAAGCCTGAACAGGTGAGTTTAAAGGAGACCACTGATCTCAGGCTCAGACGGAAAGAGCCTGAGATCAGTGATCATAAATTAATCCTCTCTTAAATACTGAACTGAAAAAGAGGCGAGCTGAAGAAAACCTAGGGAGTTCTGAAGAAATGTGAGAGACAGTGAAGCAAGCACAGAGAGATCAGAATCAGAATCAGAAGTTTTTATTGCCATATGTGTGCCGAGTCACAACATTAGGAAATTGCTGCGGTATTTTGGTGCAGAAGGTAAGATAGAAAAAAAAATTAATTAAGAGATAAGCAAATATAAGAACTAATAAAACACTCATGATAAAATTATTAATGTAAAAAGTGGCAAGAATTAGAGAAGCAGCTATCTACTCCGTGTAGGTATTTATCTGAGTATTTGTTGAATGGTTCAAGCACAGCATCGGGTCACGTGACTGGGACCAATCAACTTGAGTGGGCTGCCCTAGGATGTTCATTCAAAAGTCCAACTGCAGAGGGGAAGAAACTGTTTTTGTGGCGAGAGGTTCTGGTCTGAATGGATCTGAGCCTTCTGCCAGATGGGAGCGAGTCGAAGAGACTGTGTCCAGGGTGAGATGAGTCAGCTCTTATCCGACCTGCACGTCTCAGTGTCCTAGAGGTGTACAGATCTTGAATGGAGGGGAGTTTGCGGCCAATGACCTTCTCTGCAGAGCGCACGACACGCTGCAGCCTCTTCTTGTCCCTGGTGGTAGCTCCAGCGTACCACACGGTGATGGAGGAGGTGAGGATGGACTCGATGATAGCGGTGTAGAATTGCCTCATTGACTGGGGTTATAGGTTAAATTTCTTCAACTGCCTCAGGAAGTACATCCTCTGCTGGGCCTTTTTTCTGATGGTGGTGATGGATGGGCTCCCATTTGAGGTCCTGGGTGATGGTGGTGCCCAGGAAGCGACATGAGTCCACCATCGTGATGGGAGTGTCAGACAGGTTGGGGGGGGGGTTGCCTAAAGTCCACAACAACCTCCGCTGTCTTCTGGGTGTTTAGCACCAGGTTGTTGTGGCTGCACCAGGACACCAGCCGTTCAGCCTCCATTCTGTAAGCGGACTCATCCCCATCAGAGATGAGTCCGATGATGGTGGTGTCGTCAGCAAACTTAATTAGTTTGACAGACTCGTGCTTGGAGGTGCAGCTGTTGGTGTACAGGGAGAAGAGCAGAGGGAAAAGAACACAGCCCTGTGGTGAGCCGGTGCTGATGGTCCGTTGGTCCGAGACATTCTTCCCCAGCCTGACTTGTTGTTTCCTGTCTGTCAGGAAGTCAGTGATCCACCTGCAGATGGGGTCAGGCACGTTCATCTGGGACATTTTGTCACAGACAGATCCGTTACGGTCTGTGTGTGCGCGTGAATGCCTGGGCCGAGCTGACTGAGCTCCCGGCTGCAGAGTTTGCACAAAGCGTGAAGACAGTCAGTTACCCAATGAGGATTTTCCTTCAGCACGATTACAGATATTTACGAGTTTTACATTCGTTTCATGCTCGTATTCGTCAAAAATGCTTTATCGGTACGCTCATCCCTAGCTGTAACCACCCTGCCCTGCCTCCTCCTCCTTGCTGCCTGCCGGCTGTGATCACAAGCAGCAACACAGTAGTTCCCGCTGCTTCTTCGGAAAATGGTGCAAAAAATAAATAAATACATTTAAAAAAATCAATAAAACTTGGGATCTTGTAGGCGTGGCGGTGGGATTTCAGCCGTGGCGGGCCGCCACGGCTACGCCTATGTAAGGGAAACACTGGAGTCTAAGCAGGTGTGGAACATCTGCAGTTTAGACATCTCATGGGGCTTAAAGGAGATGTACAGTTGGATGTCATCTGTGTAAAGATGGTAGGAGATTCCTTTAAAGGAGGTCAGGATGTGCTGAAGAGGAAGCAGATAGAGGAGGAAGAGTAGAGGCCAAAGCACAGAACCTTGTGGGACACCATGGGTGAGGGATGTGGTGGAGGACCTAAACTTGGAGGTGTCCACAGAGAAGGAACACTCAGACAGATATAACAAGCAGTAATAGAACAACTTCCAGAGGTGGCGCGTCTCTTCAGGTAAACAGACCGTGACGTAGAAATCGGTCACCAAAGTAGCAAATTTCGACGAGTAGCAGGGATTGTCGGAACACCAGCTCTTTAGCTGGATGAGACATTGTTCTGAATTTCTCTTTTAGCAGCTTTGGGAGTCTTAAATATCTCCTCACAGGAGGCTTGAAGCACTTCCTAGGACGGAACGGAGCAGTCTCGGTGGTTGTTGATGCTGGTTCTGCTGCACACGTTCGTTCAGTTTCACTTTCACTTTGGTCTGCTAATTTTAATTTATATCTATTTATGGATTTTTTTTGCGATGTTGGAGACGTCTTTACGGTGGGCTAACCGCAGCGTTTCACACCGTGGTTAATAGTCAAACTAAGACCGGAAAATAAATTGAAAATGTATCGTTATTGAAATTTTTGACTCTTATCGTGAATAAATTTGATAATAAAGAAATGAAAAGATGTGTGTAGGTTGGCAACGTTTATGTCCCTTAAGGAAGCTTTACCACCTCGAGTCACATAAAAATGTGACTTGACGTAATACACGTGACAGCCCCATCTAGTGGACAACTTTTGTCTCTGCGCATACCTTTAGTTATCGTCCATTTATCGTTATTGAGGTGAAATCCTCAATATATCGTGATATTGGTTTTAGGCCAAATCGCCCAGCCCTAAGTCAAACTGGTTGATCCTTGCAACCCTAGTTGGGACATCACATTTCAGACACTTTGACAGGTTTTCACATACTCTGCACAGAATCTCTATCCATATCCGTTTCCTGACTACGTGGGGGGGTTTGGTCCGCCTTTACAGGATAAACAGAACTCTGGTCGGCAGCCACAGTGAAATGGATGGCCGAAATACAAACAAACGCCCTCAAATAATTAAGAACCACTAAGCGAAATGTAAAGTTTAGAGCAGAACATTTATCCACAAGTTTCCTGATCGAGCACATGAATGAGAATATATGTCACGACCACTTAAGAGATGGAACAAGCTATAAACTCGATATAAACTTTGCAGAGTCATCTTGTTTGAAATTATACTGATTTATTTAAAATATTGAGATGTTGACCAACCCTTATCTGAACTGAACTAAAGCCAACTCACATCTTAAAGAGCAAGTCACCCCTTACAAGAGGCATTCTTCACTCCCACTTCATGTTTGAAAAATGCAACAAATGCTGTTGCCTAGCAGACCGAGAGGGTGGAGCCACTAACAAATACACACACTCACGACATTGTGACATCATAATGTACCAGTTTACATCATAGCATACCCCTTAGCCAATAGCGGTGGCAGAATTCAAATGCAGTGAAGAGTTTTTATCTGACAACGGCACAACACTGACAGTTTCAGGCAGAAAATTTAAATTTTAACTAAAATGCACTAAAGTGCGAAACTATTGACTACACGTGTCTGCAGCACGATTAGACACACATTTATATAGTTTATCAGAAAAAAATTGTTGATTTGGGGGTGACTTGCTCTTTAAAGTTCTAGTTACCGTAGAAACCGTATAAAACGTATCGTTTTTGAAATACAACTGGTCACTCTGAGTTTCACAAGCATGCTGAACATGAACATAGTGTAGCCAGAACATAGACCTCCTGTAGCCAGGTTTGTGTTGCCTTCAGGAATACAGAGGAACACACACATCAGTACCTATAGCTTTTAGCTAGGTGATATTTGGGCAGATAACTAGATTTATCAGCTGTGATCAACAGCTGGGTGGGGTTAGAGTGTGTTATCAGCTAGCTCCATATCAAAGCACTCAGTCTTATGGTATCCCCCACCCCAGACAAGCAGAGCAGTCAGCAGGCTGAACCTTCTCACCTGTTTGTAGTGGCGCAGAAACCGAAGCACATACAAAACTACATTACGACATGAACTCATTCACTGCCAATGACGACTTAAGTCGTCATTTGCATTTTTTTTTTACTGTGTGGACATCGGAACGAGCCCCCGCACCGTGAGAACAAACATCTCAGCTCTAAAGCCAATCTTCATCCGCATACGATACACGTCACGTGATTAGGAAGCAGAAAATCCATGTGTTAGGAGATCGTTTTGGGCCGCTGCTGTAAAAAAGGTGAGGCGCGAACCGGAAAAGCTTCTGTCGATCACAATTCAACAGATTATGAAAGAACGGATAAAGCTCAAAACGCGCGGATTCTTCCTGATGTAAGAGGTGAGTCTCTGCTTTGTTTTGGTTGTTTTGGCGTCGACATCATCCTAACAGTTAAAAACGCTGAAAAACGTTGGCAGCGAAGGGCTTTACAGATCATGAAAGGGCTGGCAGCGAACAAATTATTTATGGAAGTGAAAACACTGTTAGAAACTGAGCCCATTAAAAGACTCAAAGCAGGTTCTGGAGGTGAAAGTTCAGTGTACCCACCTACTGCCTTTGAAGCTCATGCCACAGTGGGGACAGGTGTATGGCGCTTCCTGATGTGTGGGCTCCAGGGTCCTCTTGGTAAGCGGTGCCGCTCCAGCTTTCCCGGTGTGCGTCTGCTGGTGGCGGTACAGGCTGGAGGCGTGGCTGTAACACTTCCCACAGTAAGTGCAGCGAAACTGACGCTCATCCGGCTCATAGTCGTCCTCATCAGAGTCAACCTCACCATCCAGCTGGCTGCTTCCTGCCTCCACTAGGTCCTCCTGGTCCTCCTCAACATCCTCCTCATCAGAGTCTGTCTTTATCTCCACGCTCTGCTCCGTCACTTCACATGGGTACACCTCCTCATAGGGAGCAAAGAAGGCCTCATCTGTCTCGATCTTTAGTTGGTCAGCCGTCAGGTCTGCTGAGTCATCAGAGTCCTTCTTCACACACGAGATGGTGAACTTGGAGCCCACCTCAGCCCACTTCACCACGTACTCAATGGGCTGAGTGTCAAGCTCCACAGTGATGAAATCTGCTCCCAAAGCATCTGACTCAGACACCATCAGCTCTGTCTCAGAGTCCTCCATCTTGACAAGGTGTGCCCAGCTGTACCCAGGCCCAAGAGCAAGCAAAGCACCTGAAGAAAAGGAGGGACAGATTATTAACAAGATAAAAGAAAAGCAACTATGCCACCAACACGAATCTAAATGCCATCTTTCCCCAAAACAAATAATCAATGACCAGCAATTGACCAACATTAGGTGTTGCTTAGCTCTGCATTCTGATTCAACACAAGTTTTTTTTACAGTTCTTACTGATTGATTCACTTTAAAATCCAAAACTGATCGCAATCCTCTATTGGACATCCAGGAAATCAATGTAAAGTCTTTCAAATGAAAATAATAATATAGTGAGTCTGTCCAGAGTCTCCAGACTGAGATCACATTGGGATTAGGACCTCTGGCCTCAGATCACATAAGAAGTAAAAGCTGAGCTCGGACTGGACTGGGACCAGAAACAGAGCCCTGTGGAACTCTAGCCTCATATGAGATCAGGACTAAAGACAGAACTCCTGCCTCTGATCAGATTAGACCAAAGACGTAGGTTTGTGGAACTACAGCTTTAGAACAGATCTGAACCAAGAATGGCACCTAGAGGAAATGCAGACTCAGACCAGGAGGAGGATGGAGCCCTGCCCAGTCATTTCAGAACTATGATTAAATCGAGGAAAATGTGTATTGATGCCATTTTAACATTAAACACTTTGGAGATAAAACTGATGCTTCTGTTATTAAAAAGACTGGTCCAACATCCAACTGGAGAACACCTCCATCTTGTAGTTTTAATAACAAACAAATCTCGGAGCCTAGGTGTTACCATTGAAACACGAATGTTGCAGGAGGTGTAAAGGAGCCTTGATTTTACAGCTCCTAACAGAACAAATATAAAAAAACAGGGATTCATTTGAAATCAATACTTTTATAGCGTTGTGGTGCTAAGCAAATGGCTAACAGGAAGTGCTTAGGTGAACTGCTGCAATAAAAGCACAGATAGTATGAATACATTTGACCACTGAGAAAAAAAGAACAGCTGACCAGTAAGATTTCTCACTTTGGTCTAAATCGGATTGGATAAATGGCTCAAGAACTCTTTAAAAAAATCTACAGTAGATTTGAGTTGTTTCGTGTCATTTTGCACACTGATGAATTGCGTTATTGATTTGAGGTGAAAGGTAATCCTAACAATGAAAACAGAGTCCATGTGTTTATAGAAAAGTCTTGATCCAGTCTTAACCTATGAAAACCTTCCAGGTGTCATGTTTAAAGTCTCTAAGTTGGTTTCACTTTTACTCTGAATAGTTTAGGACTAAACCATCTGTTTCAGCATTAACAGTAGCAGCATGAGCTCCCTGGCGCTGGTCTTTCTGCAGCTGGTTGTGTTTTAATCACAGATTAAAGCAGGTCACCACTCATAACACCATTTATGAACGTTGACCGCTCTTCTACCTGCTGGTAGGACTGTGTGATATAGTTTATTAGACTATGAATTCATATGGCACTTAAACGTCGTCATCGTCTTCCTCCGATTATCCGGGTCCTGGTCGCGCGGGCAGCATCCCAACTAGGGAGCTCCAGACCGTCCTCTCCCCAGCCACCTCCACCAGTTCCTCCGGCAGGATCCCAAGGCGTTCCCTGACCAGATTGGAGATGTAACCTCTCCAACGTGTCCTGGGTCGACCCGGGGGCCTCCTGCCGGCAGGAAATGCCCGAAACACCTCCCCAGGGAGGCGCCCAGGAGGCATCCTGACCAGATGCCCAAACCACCTCAACTGGCTCCTTTCGATCCGGAGGAGCAGCGGTTCTACTCCGAGTCCCTCCCGAATGTCCGAGCTCCTCACCCTATCTCTAAGGCTGAGCCCGGCCACCCTACGGAGGACACTCATTTCGGCCGCTTGTATCCGCGATCTTGTTCTTTCGGTCATTACCCAAAGCTCATGACCATAGGTGAGGATTGGGACTTAGATTGACCGGTAAATCGAGAGCCTGGCTTTCTGGCTCAGCTCCCTCTTCACCACGATAGTTTGACTAAGCGTCCGCATCACTGCAGACGCCGAACCAATCTGCCTGTTGATCTTCCGATCCCTGCTACCCTCACTCGTGAACAAGACCCCCAGATACTTAAATGCCTCCACTTGAGGTGGGACCTCTCTCCCGACCCGGAAATGGCAAGCCACCCTTTCCCGGTCGAGAGCCATGGTCTCAGATTTGGAGGTGCTGATCCTCATCCCAGCCGCTTCGCACTCGACCGCGAACCTACCCAGCAAGAGCTGAAGGTCAGAGCTGGATGAAGCTAGGTGGACCACATCATCCGAAAAAAGCAGAGACGAGATTCTCCTGCCACCAAACTCGACACACTCCACACCACGGCTGCGCCTAGAAATTCTGTCCATAAAGGTTATGAACAGAATCGGTGACAAAGGGCAGCCCTGGCGGAGTCCAACCCTCACCGGTAACAGGTCCGACTTTCTACCGGCTATGCGGATCAAACTCACGCTCCTATAGTAAAGGGACTGAATGGCCCTTAACAAAAGGCCACCCACCCCATACTCCTGGAGCGTTCCCCACAGGGTGCCCCTGGGGACACGGTCATAAGCCTTCTCCAAATCCACAAAACACATGTGGATTGGTTGGGCAAACTCCCATGCCCCCTCCATCACCCTTGCAAGGGTATAGAGCTGGTCCACAGTTCCATGGCCAGGATGAAAACCACATTGCTCCTCCTCAATCTGAGATTAAAAAAATCGATCGGACCCTCCTCTCCAGTACCTTGGAGTAGACCTTTCCAGGGAGGCTGAGGTGTGTGATCCCCCTATAGTTGGAACACAACCCCCGGTCACCCTTCTTAAAGATGGGGACCACCACCCCAGTCTGCCACTCCACAGGAACTGCCCCCGATGACCATGCAATGTTGCAGTGACGGGTCAACCACGAGAGCCCTACCACATCCATAGCCTTGAGATACCCAGGACGAATCTCATGCACCCCTGGGGCTCCGCCGCTGTGTAGTTGTTTGACTACCTCAGCAACTTCTGCTCCAGAGATTGGACAGTCCATCCCCAGGACTCCAGGCTCTGGCTCCTCCTCGGAATGCGCGTACGTGGGATTGAGGAGCTCCTCAAAGTATTCCTTCCACTGCCCGACTATAGCCCCAGTTGGCGTCAGCAGCTCCATATCCCCACTGTAAACAGTGTGAGCGAGTTGCTGCCTTCCTCTCCTGAGGCGCCGAACAGTTTGCCAGAACCTCTTTGGAGCCGATCGATAGTCTTTCTCCATGGCCTCACCAAACTCCTCCCACGCCCGAGATTTTGCCTCAGCAACTGCCACTGCTACACCCCGCTTGGCTATCCGGTACCCATCTGCTGCCTCCGGAGACCCACAGACCAGCCACACCCTGTAGGCCTCCTTCTTCAGCCTAACAGCTCCCTGAACCTCTGGTGTCCACCAGCGGGTACGGGGGTTGCCACCACGACTTGCACCGGCCACCTTGCGACCACAGCTAGCAACAGCCGCCTCAACAATCGCAAAGTGGAACAAGGCCCACTCGGAGTCGATGTCCCCCACTGCTCTTGGGACGCGGTCAAAGCTCTGCCGGAGGTGGGAGTTCAAGACCTGGCAGACCCAAATGACCTGGCAGACCCTCACTATGCATTTGGGTCTGCCAGGTCTTCGTGGCATCTTCCCCGGCCATCTGATCCAACTCACCACCAGGTGGTGATCAGTTGACAGCTCTGCTCCTCTCTTCACTCGGGTGTCCAAAATATACGGCCGCAGGTCAGATGATACGACTACAAAGTCTATCATCGACCTGCAACCTAGGCTGCCCTGGTACCAAGTGTACCGATGGGCATCCTTATGTTCGAACATGGTGTTCGTTATGGCCAAACTGCGGCTTGCATTGAAGTCCAATAACGAAACACTACTCGAGCTCAGATCAGGCGGGCCGTTCCTCCCAATCACACCCCTCCAGGTCATGCTGTCATTGCCCACGTGAGCATTGAAGTCCCCCAGCAGGACAATGGAGTACCCTGATGGAGCACTATCTAGCACTCGTCCCAGGGACTCCAAAAAGGGTGGGTAATCTGAACTGATATTTGGCACATTAGCACAAACAGTCTGGACCCGTTCCCCGACCCGAAGGCGCAGGGAAGCTACCCTCTCGTCCCCTGGGGTAAACCCCAACACACAGGCAGAGAGTCTTGGGGCTAACAAAAAGCCAACCCCAGCCCTCTGCCTCTCACCTGGAGCAACTCCAGCAAAGGAGAGTGTCCAACCCCTCTCAAGGACTTGGGTTCCAGAGCCAATGCTATGTGTCGAGGTGAGTCCGGTACCGCTCAACCTCTGCCACAAGTTCCTGCTCCTTCCCCGCCAGCGAGGTGACATTCCATGACCCAATAACCAGTTTCCTTGTCCGGGGATCGGACCGCCAAGGCTCCCGCCTCGGTCTGCCACCCAATCCACACTGCACCGGACCCTTCCTGTTCCTCCTGTGGGTGGTGGGTCCACAGTTGGATGAGCCCATGTATCCGGTTTGGGCTGGGCCCAGCCGGGCCCCATGGGTGAAAGCCCGGCCACCAGGCGCTCGCTCACGGGCCCCAACCCCAGGCCTGGCTCCAGGGTGGGACCCCGGCAACCCTCCGGGCCAGGTACTCCGACTCTTTGTTTTTACTTCCATGAAAGATCTTCACTATTCAAGTGATTTTACCAGCAGCAATATTCTTTAATATCTATTTACTTGTTTATAATGTAATGAACGGGCCATAGTCAACAGGTGAAAAAACAAAAAGCAACATCACACAAATATGAAACTGAGGCTTAATGATAAATATTTACTCTTAAATGATCGGATTAAGCCCGCAGTGATAGCGACATCCCTGGTGCTTTAAAATTCCTCGTGTTTTGTAAACGATTACATTATTTATGTGTTTATTGATTACTGACAGCAAACTGGTGAAAACTCAACCCTGACTAAACCAGTAGAACTGTGGTGCTACGACTGGTTTCACTGGTCTGGTTCGTGTGATCTAGAATGGTCCTAACATCTGGAACTAGTTCAGCAGCTGTGATTCACCTCTAGCTG